ATAGTCTCTTTATAATCTATTACACTTTGTCTTTTCATGATTTGCATAACAATATAAACAGACATAAATATTTGTTTGTAAAACGACATTCTCTGATAAAACGTTGTAAACGCCTATGGTAAACACAGCGGTTTTGCCCTCAAAGATGGCGTCTCCGGGGAGGTCACGTGACAATTTTTTTGCCTGTGGGAACTATGTATAGGCTAATAAAATTTTAAAAGCCAGTTCATGACCCCTTTAAGAGAAACTTTATAGGCCCGGATAACAATGAAAATATTTCCAGTCATGTCCAGCCTAGGCTCTGCAGTTTGAACTTTAATCCCACAGGTCCACATTAAAGAGCTGGAGACAGACTGGCACCTGCAATTATCCCTGTTCATCCAGCCATGGACCTATTTCCCTATTACACAGGGAAACACACACACACACACATCTGCCACTAAAGGCTGATTATTATGACTAGCAGACCTTTACAAACAAACACACAAACAGATTTTCATTCCCATGCAACCCTCATATACAAGAACAGCCTCTTAAACAATGTCATGCATCGTTTAATTATTCATACCAACATATCGCAAAAGTTCCCTGCATTTTACTTACAATGCTAAAACTTCAGTGCCCTTAAAAACCCTGTCAGGACACATTGTCAGAAAATGACTGGTTAAAGAATTGCTGAATAACTACTGCTATATTTGTATAAGATTAACAAGAGGGCACCAAGACTTCCTCTTGTTTAAAAACAAAACAAAAACATGAATCTGGAGTTATTTTAACAGCTAATATTGCTGTAATAAGCAGTCCTGAGATCTATGAAAGCCCCTTTCCTGTAGGCACACAACTGCTGAGTTAGCAACCGGGTTCATATCTCTTTCCAGTCCCTGCTGGGCCGAAGGAGCTGGTTCATTCATTATAACATTCATTCAGTAAAGGTAGATGCATTACATTTATTAAAAATAATGCTATTGGACATCTACTTCCTTCTTCTAAAGTTACAGCATGAACACGAGCTTCACGCACTCAAGTGCTTTGTTGTCAGAAAGAATAGGAATCACAGAGGAGTTTATATACTTATGTGTTGTGTATTTCTTGGGAAAATCTTATTAAAGCCAATTTGCATTAAAATACTTAATTTTGAATAAAATGTAGCGTTCCATTCTTTGACTACCAAACTTTGACCACGCTATAATACTTTGTAGAATTTCTGTCAAATACATGCTATTTTTACTGTGTATATATATATATATATATATAAAAAATGTAAATACGAAAAAAAAAATGAATAAAGAATACCAATCACAGCAGCAATCATTCTCCCCTCTTCCATATTTAAAGTTCTTGGCCTTTGACAATTAGCACACAGTTAGGATTGGCGGTGTGGTTCTGTTTTGCCTAGCATGGATAAGAGAAGAGAGAGCAGCAATAAGCCTTAAGGAAAACAGAACAGAACCAACATGAATGTATTGCAGATATATTAAAGTATAACTTAAATTAAAGAATCAAATTGCCAAATCCTCACTGGACGAGAGGTTGAGTTGGGGATGGAGGAGGGTTATTCGCTCCTGAGAAACGCAATAGCTGCTAATAATACTGAAGGAGCTGATATATGTATACAGTGATAGGCGTCACATCTCTATAGGTAGCTATCTATCAGTTCTTATCTTACCTATTCACATTTTTATGTAAACAGCATTGCCTACACTAACAAAGGTATCTATTCCTGCCGATGCTGCAGCACTTGATGATACCAGATGAAAGGGGCCCAATATATACCTTTATATCATGTTCCAATGACATAAAGAAAATCACAGGTTTGGATTTGGAATAAAATAGGGGTGAATAAATTATGCAAATATTCACGTTTTGCATAGTTATACTATAAAGGCTTGTTTCAACAACATAATTAGTTTTTACTTCCCTTTACTGGCTCAAGCAGGTCCAGGAGTCCCATCAGATTCAAGCAAATGCATGCCCTTCATGCTTCAAGTATCAGGCCTTGTACAAATCTATAAACATTTACTGGAGATGGCAAATCATAATATTTAAGCATGGCCTTGCTTTTATTATTTCTTGTTAACAGCATGAGTCACTTACACAGTTCAATCCATACAGAGCAAAATTAAATTAGCACTGCTTTCTGCACGCATATGATCTGCTATTTATTAAAAATTTGATATGTTAATGAAACAGTTTGTATTTTGAAAGAACAACCTACTGTACCATAAGCTCAAAAGTGGCTATGGGATTTGTTATTATGATCAGTGTGCTTCATAATCCATGCCCACGCTTGCGCAAACAGATTTACAAACTGTGCTCATGATTTGTGGCTGTCACTCATTTATAATATAATATAATATAATATAATATAATATAATATAATATAATATAATATAATATAATATAATATAATATAAATGGTTGTCATAGAAATGCATGATCTATACTGTATTGATGTTTTCCAATAGAAAAAAAATGTACTGGGGTAAAATGTATTTTGTATTGAAAGTACACCAACTCCTGTGTGTATAAAAGGATGTATGGCAAAACTGTAAGAAAGGATTGGGAAAGCTTTGGATTGAAAAATCAAACGTATGGTGAACAAATCTGAGAGCACGAATTGGAAATTCATGGGTAACGTTTATTAATCCGTGGGTGTGATCTGATAAAGTGATAGTTCACCCAAAAATGAAAATTAAGTCATTACTCACCCCCATGCTGTACCAACCCCGTAAGACCTTCGTTCGTCTTCGGAACACAAATGAAGATATTTTTTGATTAAATTTGTGAGGTGGATCACTGCTACATAGGCTGCCTGAGGGATTGAAACTTGACGGCCCAGAAAGTCAATGAAAAAAATGTTTAAATATTCCATGTGACAACAGTGGCTCAAGTATAAGTTTATCAAGCGACGAGAATACTTTTTGTGCGAAAAAAAAAAATTATAGCTGCAAGTAGCGATGGGCGGGCCCTCGCACCTGTAGCACGTCCATATTCTGAAGCTCAGCCGGTGCGGCTGTGAATTTGCTACGCATCCAAATCACCCAAAATCGACGTAAAATTCAAAATGGACGACTTCCTGTTGGGTTTAGGGCATTGCTCCAAGAGGCTTTTTTGTACGTCTGGACATGATCCATGTGCCCCAGAAATTCCGTACATGTAGGTAAAACGTGTGGTGGGGGCTGCTTCGTTAAAGGTCACTTCCTGTTGCCAGCAGGTGGCGCTATGACTGTGGGTGAATGTCGGCATGTAGATTTGTTCAGGGCGGGACTGTGTGAATGTGTAAAATTTCGTGCAGATCTGGGCATTTACAGCCAAGCTACTACAACTTCCTGTTTCATGGCAAATCATCGATGCCACGGACACGCCCATTGACGAAAACGCGCAGATAGCACAGCTTTACATCGTCAATGCCTTTAGAAGGCGCAGCAGAAATTTGAAGCCGATCCGACTAAATCCCTACGAGGACTTCGTCAAAGTACGGAGTGTGTAAATCGTCCCAAATCGTTCGCCAAATTAAAAATGGCGGACTTCCTGTTGAGTTTAGGGTATGGGTTCTTGAGGCTTTTTTGTGCGTCTTGATATGATACACGTCCCCACCAAATTTCGTGCATGTAGGTTGAACGTGGACGAGGGGCTAATTTTTTCCAATTTTTTAGGTGGCGCTAGCGAGCCATTTTGTCACGCCCATCCGTGAAACCCACAAAATACGAAATTTTTCACCAGTCCTGACATGTGTGCCAAATTTGGTGAGTTTTTGAGCATGTTGCGGCCGCGAAAATGGCGCTTACTTTGCAGAAAAAAGAAAAGAAAGAATAATCCTAACAGTTTTAATAGGGTCCTCGCACTGTTAGTGCTCGGGCCCTAATAACAACTTTATTCGACTATTCCTCTTCTTCCTTCTGGGCCTGAGACGAGAGTTCAAGAGATTTCCACGACACATGCGTGAGAACTGCATTCTACTTCGACTACTTCAGTTCAGTTCTCGCGCATGCGTTGTGGAAATCTCTAATAATAATCTGATGCTGTTGAGGCTAAATCTAAAGTCTAACATGCACGTCTTAATTCTGTTCAGGTGGGGAAGAGAAGGTTATGCTTTTGCTGAGGATCAGAGGCACATGTAGCTAATGCTGTCAACTGTCTGGCTGCAACATGCAGGAAGTGAAAAAAGATTGGACATTATGCTATTCGTTGCCAAGCCCAAAAGCCCAAATTTTGGTGGTTGGATGTTTGTCAGTGAACGTTTCTACATGACTACTGAACAAAAGGGACACCACTTAGGGTCTGCACTGCATTTGAGGATTGAAAACAATCAAGTCCTGCCTCCTAATGCCATTCTTGTGCTTGTTGTGCAAGTCTTTCAAACCGCATAAAGCTGGACAAAACAGTCAAAAGGAAGAAATTAGAAGAAAGAGGATGTGCGTTGACCTCAGAGAGCCAAATAAAGCAGTGGTCATGGACTCTTTTCCATTGCCACACATGGTTGAACTACTCTCTGCTCTAAGGTTCTACTGATTTTCCTACCATCGACCTGATTAATGGTTACTACTAAATGCCACTGCGGGACAGGGCAGTTGTGAAATCACAGCCTTAATTACTCACTGTTCAGTTTTGTTGTGCTTCTTACGGATTGGCTTCAGCACCAGCGGCATTTCAGAAGAGGATGACCATCATCCTGGCTGGCTTGTCAAGTGTTGAAAATTACCTGGTCGACATTTTCATCTATGGACACAACATGTCTATGCATGACAAAGCACTTACAGCGGTCTTACAACGACTTCAGGCAAGGCTGTTCTTAGGTTATATTATTTCATCTGAGGTTCTCTTTTTTCTGATGAATCACATGTAAAAGCCATTCATAATGTCCCTGCTGATTATCAGTCACATTTGCCCTTACCTGTTGATGATGTTGATGAAGAGTTTGTTGCTTTTCTATCTGCCGATGTTGATGCTGCATGTGCTTTTTGTCCTGCTCTAACCAAACTTCATACACAGATTTCTAATGGTGTCATGGAGGTAAGAGAACCCGACAGCAGGTGCGGAGAAATAGTATAACTTTAATTGAGAGAGCTTGCCAGAGACTTCGATAACCAACAGAAAAGATTCTCAATGGGATACTAAGAGAGACTAGCAGTAGAATAATGTTCAAAATAAAGTCTCGGCTTGTAGATAACAAAAACAGCTGTCAGCCCAGAAGAAACAAGATGTATAGATGAAAGCTCCCTATGACGGGGAAGTGGAGCGGGCTGGCGTTTCCCAAGGGAGAGTTGAGGCAAGCGGCAATGCTCCGTCACAGTTTAGATCTCTTTACATTAGTCAGCTCCCGACACGACAGGACTGCGACATGACAGGAGACATAAGGATTAGATGGCTCTTAGTACACACGAGAAAATGCAACACTCAGCCAAAGACAGGTTGAGAGAAAGGGGAAGAAATAGAAACACTAATCAGGAGAAAAGGATTCAGGTGAAGAGGGCAGAGAGCCATGACTAGTAAACGAGAGACAGCTGAAGGGGGGAAACGAGGATAACGAGGAGGTGTGTGCAAAAGTGAGGAGTGAGGAAATTCGTTCCTCACAGCGGAGATGATTTGGAAGTTTAAGCTAGACTGCGACAGGACAGATAATCTTAGACACACGAAAAGGCCCAATAAAACGAGGGGCAAGCTTGCAAGAGACTGATTGAAGAGGTAGATTAGCAGTCAATACTGTAGATTGGCAGTCAATAGTACTTTCTGCCCTCAGACATACCTGGGGCGTTTGACGCGACAACGATTTTTTGACGCAAACGATCGGGATCGACAAAGAGCGGCTCTAACTCTCATCCAGGAGCGCTTGCAGCGTTGAACGAACTTCTGAACAGAAGGAATGAGATCGCAAGAGATCGTAAAATCCGGCCGACAGTCTGATTGGCCCGTTCGGGTTGACCATTTGTCTGAGGGTGGAAGCCATTTGTCTGAGGGTATCTAACACGACATCAGAGGGGAGTCCGTGGAGCTTGAAAACATGCTCGATGATGATCTTGGCAGTCTCTTTGGCAGAGGGGAGCTTAGGAAGAGGGACAAAATGAGCAGCCTTAGAAAAACGGTCTATTATGGTCAAAATAATGGTGTTGTCTGATGACGTGGGGAGACCAGTAATAAAATCAAGCAAGAAATGAGACCAGGGTCATGAAGGAATAGGTAAAGGTCTCAAGAGTCCGGCCGGAGGAGTGTTGCTGGTCTTAGTCTGGGCGCACTCAGAACAAGAGGCCCAAACCAACTTGTATCTCGTTTGCAAGTGGGCCACCAAAAACACTGGTGAACGGATGCCCCTAACGCCGGGATGGGCAGCGAGTTTCGATGAGTGAGCTCACTGAAGAACAGCTTGATGTGCAGAAGCAGGTGCAAAAAGTAGATTACTTGGACACGACCACAGGGGAACAGCTCAAGAAAAAGCACATCTAACAAGTTTCTCAATACCCCAGACAACTGCGCCAAAAACTCACCTCTCAGGGACAATTGGGGTGTGAGGATTAACAGCTTCCGAGGGACCAAAGAGGTGAGACAGCGCATCAGGCTTTAAATTCTTAGTTCCCGGACGAAAAGAAATCGTAAAGTCAAAACAAGTAAAAAAATAAAGCCCAACACACCTGATAAGCATTTAACCTCTTAGCCGACCGGATATATTCGATAAACGGAACGGAAGCACCCTCTAACCACTGACGCCATTCCTCTAGGGCAAGACAAAGAGCGAGTAGTTCGCGGTTTCCCACATCATAAATGCGCCCAGAGGGAGACAACTTGTGTGAGAAAAACGCGCAGGGATGGGATGGACCTAGGAAAGGACACCCGCCAAGGACACCCAATTCAGACACGTCAACCTCAACGATAAATTGTCTGGTGATGTCAGGGAATAACAGGGTGGGAGCTGAAGTGAACAAGGACTTTAGACGATCAAAAGCGCTCTGGGCGGGCACCGACCATAGAAATTGGGTCTTGGAAGATGTTAACTCAGTCAAGGGAGCGACTATCTGACTGAAGTTACAAATAAAGCGACGGTGAAAATTAGCAAAACCGAGAAAGCTCTGAAGAGCGGTACGAGAATCTGGAACAGGCCAATCTGTGACTGCCCTCACTTTGTTAGGATCCATACTAACCCCGTCTGGCGAAATTACCCAAAAAAGGAAAGTAATTGAGCGTGGAACTTGCACTTCTCTGGCTTAACGAATAACTTATTCTCGAGAAGAAGCTGAAGAACATGGTGGACATGCTGGAAGTGCACCAGGGGAGAGGGAGAAAAAATGAGAATGTTGTCAAGGTAAACGAACACAAAAACATTAAGCATGTCTTGAAGAACATCATTGACCAATGCCTGAAAGATTGCTGGGGCGTTGACCAACCCGAACGGAAGAGCGCGATATTCAAAGTGCCCAAGGGGAGTATTAAACAGAATAATGTTCAAAATAAAGTATCAACTTGTAGATAACAAAAACAGCTCTCAGCCCAGAAGAAACTAGATGTATGAAAGCTCTGTAAGACGGGGAAGTGGAGCGGGCTGGCGTTTCCCGAGGGAGAGTTGAGGCAAGTGGCGATTCTCCAGCACAGTTTTACATTCAACTGTGCAATCTGTTACAATCTCTTTACATTTGTCAGCTCTCGACACGACAGGACTAAGCCATGACAGGAGACATAATGATTAGATGCTCTTAGTACAAAGACAGGTTGAGAAACGCTAATCAGGAGAAAAGGATTCAGGTGAAGAGGGCAGAGAGCCATGACTAGTAAACGAGAGACAGCTGAAGGGGAAAACGAGGATAACAAGGAGGTGTGTGTAAAAGTGAGGAAATACCGAAATGTGTGAACAAGAGTGAGAGAAAGAAACAGGATCATGACAAATGGTTGGCCTTTCTCACCCAAGGGACTGAAAGGTGTGTTTTTTCTTTATTACAAACTGTTAAGGACAACTTTGTGTTCTGAGGCTCGTGGCTGATTACACCTGCTCCTCTTCAACCTATGCTGGTTTCCATATTGCAAAAAGGACATCAAAGGGAGGGGAGAACCAAACAACCCCTTCGTGATCTCTGATCCATCCAGGGATGGATCCTCAGGTTCGTGATACTGTCCGGTTTTTCCATGTGTGTCAGCTCAAAGACAAATCTGTCAAGTCACATCCTGCTCCTCTCCAGCCAGTGGCGCTGCCTGATGGACCATGGCAGAAAGTGGCTGTGGAAATAGTCAGGTCATTTGACACTGCTGCATCCAACTGCAGGGTTGCTATTGCATTAACTGACTATTATAGCACATAGCCTGAGGTCACCTTTACTGCCACTACAGATTCTGTGGTTTTGTTTCAAACAGTCACCATGGAAATCCATTGAGTATAGTTACGGATAGCGGTGTTCAGTTTATGTCTGCTGCTTTCGCTGCTTTTCTGTAAGGTAGGAATATTCGTCACCATCGTTCCTTTCTCTACTACCCGGCAGCTAATGGTGCTGTAGAGAGGTTCAACCGTGTGCTCAATTTCTACATCTGCTCCTGTGCACACGTTAACTGACATGGCTGTTTGCCGAAGGGTTATGTAGCTGCAACACAACATGAAAAAAGTACACAGATGCTCGTGGGGTGCTCACACTCCTTGTTTCAGGATAGAGTGAGGGGTACGGAATGTTCCTAAGAGACAAAAATTTAACTAATCCTCTCACGCTTCCCATCTCTCTGCATTTCCAATAACTGAGAACACTGCTCACTTACAGTAGATCTGATGTGCTGTTCTGGATCTTATGTATGGATGTGTCTGCATTGTCCATTCAACTCTAAAAGGGGGAAATGTAGTGTTCATAAGTGAATTAGCTGTGTTAGACTCAAATCAGAACTGTTGAAGTGCTGAGTAACAGCCCATTCTCATCCCAAGGCGTCATCTAACTGGCACCTTGGGGAGCATTTTGACTATGCTTCAATATCTGACGCTTTAGGCAACCTTTAGCGTCAGTTAGATGACGCCCTAGGATCGTGTCTAACCCTTACCCTACCCCAGACCTAAACCTACCCGCGTCATCTAACTGACGCTTTACCTTTAGCGTCAGTTAGATGACGCCCAATGATCGCGTCATGTAACTGGGTGCCTAAAGCGTCAGATATTGAAGCATGGTCAAAATTGTCAGTTAGATGATGCCTTGGGATGGAAATGCGTTGCAAGTAAACAAGATGGATAAAGTTTGCTACTCCTGTATTGAGTGCTTTACTCCTGACAGATACCACACAGATGGACAGGATATGACACACATAGTTCTTATTAAATTGTTGTCTATTTTACCCCATCACCAATACAAATGATTTAGCCTAGAATTAAAGAATGCAGTTAAGACAGGTTAATGTATTCTACTTAACAATACACAATAATTGTTAACAGAATTGGGAGCTTGTTCTGTTCTTGTGTTTATAAAAAGCGGGATGAGCCACAAAACTGTGGGATTGTGAAAGCGTGAACAACCGAAGGTACGGTGTACAAATCTGAGAGTACAGACTGGAAATTCGTGGGCACGGTTTATTTATCCGTGGGTGTGACTGTGATCTGTTAATCTGAGAGAACAATTTAAGAATCTGTGAGTATGGTTTATAAACTGAGGGAACAAATTGCAAAACTGTGGCAACGGATTTGCTGGTCTTGTTTTAGTTTCTCCTAAAGGTGACTACCCAGGCTCCGTATGATCGTTTTTCTAATGAAAGATTTTTTACAGCCCTTCCTGTAGGCCATTCTGCTCTGAAACAGAACCAATTCCTTCTTTTCAAGCACTTATGATCGCACAATGCCCTCTTCTGTTCAGAGGAAGAACACGATTTGGTTTCGTTATTTTCATGGTCCCCTTTAGACATTCTGTTAATTATAGGTTGCACCTACTGTACATGTCAACAAACTTTCATTAGAGTATTAGTAGACGGTTAAGGGTATGCTTAGGGTTAGTAGAATAAGTTGCAAAGAATATCTGTTGGGGAAAAATCAAAATAAAGTGTTAGTAGGTTGAGCCATCAAGTTAATAGACTTGTAGGTGCAAAGTTATCATAGTCTACCAAATGAATGGATACCTTCAAAATAAAGTGTTACCCAACATTTAGCACTTTGTTAAAATGTTTAATTAAAAATTAAGCAAGCATTTACTCTACCAGTCAAGAGTTTTGTTCTCTTGTTAAAAACTCTTCATCTTCACTCACTTTAGCTGATGAAACCCTAATTCATGTATAAATCACATCACGCCAGGACTATTGCAATATTTCTTGGTCTTCCCAAGTACGTATTGCAAGATTACAGTATGTTCAAAACCAACCCGATCTCACGGGAATTCGTACGAATTTTACGAGATGGCTAATTCGTAACAATTCGTACGACCTCACTCGTACGAATTAGTACGATTTAGCTAAATCGTACATATTTTACGAATTAGCCAATTCGTATGAATTCGTACGAATGACCTAGCCCTGACCCCGCCCCTAAACATAACCGTCACGTGGGTTTAGACAAATCGTACAAATTTGTACGAGTGAGGTCGTATGAATTAGTACGAATTAGCCACTTTTGAATCACTCGTACGAATTCGTACGAATTGGTCGTGAGATAGGGTAGTCAAAACTGCAGCGAGAAACGCTTCCTTTCACAGTCCAGTTACCCATGTAAATACTATGTACTTATTTTAGTAACTACAATTACTGGGTAATAACTAGTACTAACCCTGAACCTACCCCTGTTCCACATACTTACCTTATATTAGCCAGTACTTTCTAGGTAATTACACTGTAAGTATTGTACTGTAAAAGGAAGCGTTACCTTCTCACCTCTACTAGGCGTTCTGCTCAAATTTCGCCTCTGCTTCACTAGCTCCCTGTAGCATCACGTATCCACTTTAAGGTATTGCTTCTAACGTTCAAAGCATTAAATGGTCTTGCTCCACAATATTTGACTGACCTACTCCACCCTTACCATCCTACACGGTGTCTCAGATCAACTGAACTTGGTTTACTGTCCATCCCTCGTTTCCGGGTGTCTACTGTAGGTGGAAGGTCTTTCAGTACTAATGCTCCTCAACTAATGTGCTACCTCTTACACTACGTAAAACCTCATCTGTGGCTACATTCAAGACCCAGTTAAAAACATAAAACAAATAAATAAATAAATAATAATAAAAAAAGAGTTTGGACACACTTGTCTGAATTTATGTTTCTCATGATCTTGATGATGTTATGATTGCATCAATCTTTTGGCTTATGCGGAGATGCTTGAATTTAGTTTAGTAGAATATTGTACATATACTAATGAACTTCTTTACAAACCTAAAACAATAAAGTGAAATTGGAACAAGTATATTTAGGGAAATAATAATAACACCAACAGTAATGAAGACTAGGACTGTGTCCAAACTGAGTGACAGCGAGACCTAAAGTCTACATTACATAAACTACCAATGACAATGAGAAGACGCTGACAAAGATAATTTATTTCCAGTGTTTTTGTTTTCTTTGCAGTTGGGAGTCACACATATGAATATTCAGAGGTAAGATGAAATCTGCAAACATAAGTATGAGGTCATGCATACTCTTCCGAGGAATCACATGCTGGCTACACTGGTCAGCTCGGACAAAATATGTGACTTTTTAACAAAGGTAACATACACAAAGAAATATAGACATTTAAGTTATTGCCTCAATAATAGACCAGGGTAAAGACATATCCAGTGGCAAAGCACGAAATGACTTAAGACTATGACGGATGAAGCAGTGGAAGCGCAGGGTCTGCTTTTGCATTGTTTTGTATAAAAATTTATTTTTCTTCTTATTTTTTTTCTGATAAAATTCAGTCATTCATTCACAATACACATTCCATATTAACAAACAACAAAATTAAGAAATGGCACCTTTCCTGTCACCAGAACCAGTTGAGAGGCACTTTTTTTGTAAAAAACAAAACTAAAAACAATTCCTTGTTATTTCACCACTTATTTGCTGTCAGTTTGTAGTTTGCATTTAAAATGGTTTAACATGACAACACAAGTAAGCCTGGTACTGCTACAGATGTTCAGTCTCTGGCGCTTTCGGTTTAGCACTTACTTTAATCCTGTAGAAATATAAAAATATTTCATTCTTCTTCCACATTTATGTCTGGCTGTTATGATGCACTGTAAAAGGGGTTTCCACAGCACACAGCACAGAAAACAGCCCATATCAGGGCTAACCTTCAGAATAAAAAAAACAAAAAACAAAATACTTCAAGTACAGACATTATTTACATTATTTCACTATTGAAAACTGCAAGAAGCAATTTACGTGTTAGTCAATATAACGGCAAGCATATCACATTCTTCATACGAGTAACATCAGGAGTTTTCTTTTTTTGTCTTAATCTTGGACAAGATGCCTTTTCTTTTCCTTTGATATCAGTATCCTTCAGTAACAGTTTCGCAAATGCATGTCTGTCCAAAAATTGTGCTGTCGCTGCAGCAAAGGCTGTCGGTAAACATTGGTATTGTACAGCCTCTGAATATCAGGCCACTTCACCGTCATGCATATATTACTAGCTTTCAAGAAAAGATCTCCAGTACTGATCCAAAAAAAAAAAAAAAAGTTGAGTCAGTTAACTCAAAATTGTTAAAATTACTCCAGTTACTTTTTTATAAGCCTATACATATAGATATATACAATTTATATTTCTAATATATATTCATATTTATAGATACTTTGTTTTTTTTTTTAAAAAAAGGAGGGGGAGGGGGTCAGGGGGAGCTGAAAAACAAAGGTGGAGTAACCTTAGCTCTAAGTACATTCATTCATTTTTAAGGCCTGATCACACCTAAGCGCATGTTTGGCATGAAAATGTATTGAAAATCTTGTGTTTTGCCTTTTTTATACCAATACATAAAAATGGCAATGGTTAAATGCAAATGTAATCTGACAGTAGGGGGTGCTTATAGAAAAGCAGAAATACGCCAGTGACCCAGGTACAAAAAAAGCTGCGCAACTATCAGAATCTGACACCCGCTTGTCACGAGGAAAAAAATTCAAACAGTATTTACATGATTTTAAACAGCCATATTTGTATTTGCTATGATGCTTACCAAACAGGGACAAGAAACCTGCTTTTGGATTCTTCCTCTGCTATTTACAGCAGTTTAGCAAAATAGTCTTTGTAAGCACCAATCTAAAAGCCGCGGCTCTAGAAATGTGACCAAAAGCGCAAATCTTAATGGTTGGCCAGTTTTCTTTGAGGTGCAGTTGAAAAGAGATTAGAACCGCATGTAAGACTTCTGTCACACTGACAGCACGCAAATGTTCACATCGGTCTGAACAGATGCAATAACAGTTTGTGTCAGTCTGAACAGATGCTGTTTATGCAAATGAAAATGTTTACCGCGCCCAATTTCCACACCAAACATTCATCTTGGTTTGAACAGGCCTTTACACACACATTATGACGCACTTACACACATGCAGATGATTCTTTTCTTTTAAAGGTATTGGTAGAATCGGGAGCGCACCACTTGGGCTCCTGACAATTTCTGTGGATGAGCATCAGCTCCTGAATTCAGGCTGTTTTTGGATTTGCCCTTTGAAGTGCCTCCGTTTACTTGTTCAGAGCTGGATTGGGGACATGGAGAGGCAGAAGGAGTCAGTTGCTCAGCACTTTGCACACCTGCATGGGTATCTCCCGCTTCTGTTGTACGTATCCCAACTTGACCTTCCAGCTCTCGACTGGTTCGACGATGCTCACAAGCGATCCAGTCCCGGATAGACAAGTCCTGTGAGTCGCACTTGGGTTTAAGGCGCTCCACAGCGGACAATTCGGCACCTTGGTCCACCCCACCCTGTTCCCTCCAGTCATGAATGACATCTAGTTCAGCAAAATCCCGCTGGCCACCCAACGTATGGCGCCGCCGGATGCTCTTCTTCTTACTACGCGTCTCTGTAGAGCGGGCTTTCTGCGTGCCAACACCGAACATATCATCAGCGGAGGCGCGTAGACGGAACTTGAGTCTCTCTGTGATTTTAAGATGCCATGCTGGCTCAACTCTGTCCGACTCAGTTCGCAATGGGGCACTCAGGCTGCTGGTGGAACGGCCTCTCTTCATCACTTCCAGAACTCGAGACAGTCTGTTTGATTCATTCTTGCTGACCCCGCCACCAGCTCCTGCCTCCACAGATGAATCGCTGTCCGTCTTTTGGCGCAGGGATCGCCTCCTAGACAGAGAGTCACATTCTATCAGTTTATGGGAAGGCAGCAAGCGGCAAGCTAGTTTGGGCGTGGTGTTTCCACTATCTTCCGTGGTTGGTATGTCTAGTCTGGCGATGCCAGGGGTAAACATTGGGAAGTCACTCTCGCTGTCCGTTTCCATTGGTCGTCCCTCACTGATGAGCTCACTGCGCTCGTCATCCGCCTCGTCTCCCCCCCGGCTTTCGGTCACAGACTGCACCTCTGGGCTCAATGTGATGGATTCTATTCCCGTCAGGAAGGTGGTTGAGGAAGTGGTTGAGTAGTCTGAGGTAATAGAGCTCACCTCTGCAGTCACTGAAGCCCCCCCATAAACTAGCAATTGCTCAGGGGCCGGGGGTGTCGTTGTGCCCCATTTCCGAGGTCTGGTTCTGGGACCGGAGGGTCCAGAGCTCATGGTGCCCAAGTCTGAGGTGGTCTCATCTAACTGCGAAGAACGATCCGAGAGGGATGATTTGGGAGGACCAGAGGTGCGGCGGATGACACCGGGTGAACATGAGAGCTTGGGCAAGGGGGAGAGAGTTGAAGAGGGTTTGTCTTTCATAAAGAAAGAGTTCCTCTGCTCCTTCTTGTTCTTTGGGGTGGACTCTGCATTTATGCCGTTGTCTCCTATAAGTGATTTTCCGCATGGGCTGGAGCTGCCTCCATCCTCCTCCTGGCTTTGGTGATTCTGCTTTTGAGTTGGGTTCTCCTTCTTGGTGAAGACAATATCAAGGTCGTCATCAGAGCTGCTGGGTTGCAGCTTCTCCTTGTGCTTCTTTCGTTTGCGGTTGGCCGCAGCAAAGATGGAGGAGACTCGTGGCTGAAGGAACTCGCGGCTGCAGTGGTCCTTCCCTGATCCCCAGGAGCCCTGGACACAAAGAGAAAGAAAGAGTGACAGATTCAGTCACAAGGAAAACAAAACAACCTTGTAATCCAATGAGCCACAAAGCACTGAGGCCTAGCGAGAAAACATTGAATAAAAAGCCCAACCGCTGCCCTTGCAGGTGGCTAAACCCAGAGTACTCCACCTGCTTCTCTGATAGCAGGACAAATCAGAGGTTGAAGGACTGGACATAGAAAGAAACATTAGAGACAGTTACATAACTCCAAATGAGGCTTCTTTTTCAGAAAAGCCACATAGCATAAGCAGCACCCGCAACACCAACAGCAATGACATATGGAAAAAGCTGCATGGGTTGCATTTGAAAATAAAGCTGGAGCCAGATGACAGAAAAGGGAATGGGAATCAGAATCCATTTAACGGTTCTTCAAGTACTTCTGAGGAAGCACCACATATATGACTCTAACTAAACTGTACAATATACTGTGTTTTTTTGTTTTTAATATTATATTCGTTTTTTGTTTAGTAAAACTAATAATTTTGGACCAGATTTTTTTTTTTTAGCTTTTTAAAGGGATAGTTCACTCAAAAATTAAAATTATTTCAGTATTTAGTCACCCTCATGTTATTCCAACCCTGTAAGACCTTCGTTCATCTTCGGAACACGAATTAAGATATTTTTGATGAAATCTGAGAGCTGGATCACTCCTCCATACTAGTCCATAGGCTTCTTGAGGGATTGAAACTTGCTGGCATCGAAAAGTTATTAAAGACATCGTTAAAATAGTCCAAGTGACTACAGTGTCTCAATCTTAACTTAATCAAGTGACGAGAACACCTTTTGTGCATAAAAACAAACATAAATAACGTCTTTATTTCAACTATTAATTTCCTTCTCTTTGGGCCTCTTGTAAGTTGAACGTCACAAGTAGGCTCACTATTGGCCGACGCTGGTCATGTGTGTGATGCGTGTAACGTACAGATCGCCCAGAGAGAAGGAAATGAATAGTTGAAATAAAGTCGATTTTTTTTTTTTTTTTCTTGTCGTTTGATAAAGTTAAGATTGAGCTACTGTAGTCACTTGGACTATTTTTAGGATGTCTTTAATAACTTTTCGAGGCCAGCAAGTTTCAATCCCTCAAGAAGCCTATATGGACTAGTATGCAGGAGTGATCCAGCTCTCAGATTTCATCAAAAATATCTTAATTTGTGTTCCAAAGATAAACGAAGGTCTAACGGAGTTGGAACAACATGAGGGTGAGTAAATACTGACAAAATTTTCATTTTTGGGAGAACAATCCCTTTAAATGTAGTTTATTACAAGTCTATGTCCAATGTTTATCTTTATATTAGAAAATACATACAAAATATTGTCATATGGACAACTTAAAGGACAAGTTTGGAATTTTTCTCGTATTTTACTCGAATATACTCGGGCCAGCAGGATGTTTCCAAATTTCCATAAACCATTCTATTTCATCAAAAATGATCTTAAAACAGGTCTTTAAGTGTAAAATACCAAACTTGTCCTTTAAAATAGCAAAAAATATCTGTTAATATAACAAAGTGATGACTTCATTCAGTAAATGACAGTGAATATGCTGTTTTAGATTAGTTTGAGAGACTGATTTATTAAATAAAATGTTATGCATCAGACATTCAATAACTGTGAACTTAGCTGAATGTCATGAAGATAATTCAGTTGTTACTTCGGTTAATACTTTTGTAAAAAAAAAATGGTTCTTGATTCCCACCCCTAGGCAGAAATGCATAATGCACATTCTAGCAATAATTCATTTCCCCGTTACACTGAATGCAGTGCATGTTCAAAGCATGACATGATGGCCTCTGATCCATCTGTCCAATGTCTTTAAGATGGCAACTGGCTCTCGGGTGCTACAGTGGGAGTCGTGGAGCGTGTCACCCTGGTGCAAGAACTACACTCACCCATTATACCAGATTTATCAGAAAAGTAGCCACAGTCCAAGAATCAAACTCACCTTAGATTTAGCGGAGTCACTGGTTGGTGAATCTGTGGAGTAAAAATAAATATAACACATGGTTAGTGGCTTGTCCATGTCCTCATACTGATCTCAAACATACTGATATAGAGAGATGAGTAGAGAAACATATGCATTAAGAAAGGTTGTGCATGACGAGGAGAGCTTGGCAAACAAGGAAAGAAAGGTATGGTGAGCAGGCGTGCATGCAGACAAACAAACAAACAAATGAGCGATGTTTTGTTGAAACGCTCAGATTTATATTCACCAGTAAGGAGCAATCTTTCACGAGTAGGACCATCCAGCAAACACAAACAATATAGTAACATGAATCTGGCACGAAAGGAATTTTTTTGGTTGCAAAAGAGATGAACTTGATGAACATCTTTATGAAGGAATAAGTGCAACTAATAGGATGCAAGGAAAGTGACAACACCACCGAGTACAGATGAAATGATAACGGTCTTGCAGAAAGTGTCAGTGACGGATGTTTATTATATGATCTATATGAACATTGATTCTGACATACAGTTATACTGAGATATAGATTTAATATCTCAATGATCAGAAGAAACCGAACAAAATGTTAATTCTATGTATATTTTAAGTAGAACACAACTATAATTCAAAGTAATCAATAGAAGTTAAACAATCAATCATCACAGAAAATAATTTTGACTCATCTCTAAGTAAAAACGCATTACCAGTAACCCTATAAATATTAAAATATACACGTATATGTATATTTAATATAGACCTGAATTAAACTTCTTCTGGCTATATACATAAAATATATGGATTTTGAACCTACTGTACATCTTGGTCATGTTAACAGTCAGGTATAATGACACATTTTTTTTTCTGTATATAACAGTAATCTAACTGATAAAGGCCCATTTAGACAACTTGAATAACACATAATAGCTTCAACAAATATACAAGTTTCACATACTTTTAAACCATTCTCTCTTAGACTTCCATTCTAAGTGCATTAGAGTACAATTTTACAGACAAGTCAAACTTATTTTCTGCATGTCTCAGATGTTGTCCACACAGCTTAACTTGCTTTGAGCCGGGAATATTTCTTTCAGTGGATAATTTTGCATTTCACCGATTAAATCTACAACCCTTTACACTCAAGTACTGTGTGCATGATGCAGAAATGATTAAAAACGCTCATCTACATTAATTGAGGCGATAGACAAAGGGGATGGATGTTTAAATGCTGGTTCTGGTTTAATGTGCGCTGTCGTGACCGCAATGAAGACGAGACACTCACGGCATGAACCAAGGTAAGAAGTGACAGGGGTCAGAGAGGGGCTAGCTATGCAGAAAAGATGACACTATGGGAAGACAGAATGCCAGCAAGGAAAATTAAAACAATTGATTCGCTGATGTCTTTGCTCCCATTTCATTTTCCATGGCAAAGACTAGAAATTTTTGGAGGCTTATTCCTTCTGTGTCCAGCCGAGCCCCCCTGAACACCCCTTGGTGGTGACAAATGGTATGACCGAGTGATATTCAGAGCCGAGTAGCATTACCATGCTGTCTCTCCGTTTGGCCAGCGTTCAGAGAGAGAGAGAGGGATAGAGAGAGAGAGATAGAGAGGGGCGAGAGACGGCGAAGAGCCTTTGAGACAGCAGCACTGCTCTACGCCAGGTAAACTCACAGACCACTCACGCCCCACAGAACCCAACACTTCTGATGCGCTTCCCCTTTGCACTTTTTTGCTCTCTTTTCTCAGTCGCCCACTTCATAAAATGCGAGGGTGTCGGCAGACTAGGCAGCTACACTGCGGGCAACAGTCCTCCCTCTTCCTACAGTTCCAGCTTCCCATCACGGACCCTACCGAGTCCATCAGTGACATCACGGTGTGATAGACTCCGCCCACTTGGCCTGTGTCAAGATCAGTATGTGTGAATGCTGGGAAAGCCTTTAGGACACGCGACAGAGGGGCACTAGGGACAGAGGGATCAGAGATTGACAAGCGTGCTCTGCGGTTTGGCCTTAGCTGTTAGTTTAGGCGCTTTTCCACTGCATAGTACGGTACGGTACGGTTCGGTACGTCTCACTTGTGGTGCTTTTCCACTGCATGGTACGGTACAGTACGGTTCGCTTCAGGTCGCTTTAAATGGCACCTGGTCTGTTGAGGTTCCAAGCGTACCGTACTGCTACTAAAATGTGACGTGAAACACTGCAGATCACTGATTGGTCAGACAGAATCATCATTCCCTGCATCACTACTAGCATCATTGGATTTGCGACACGAGACACTTTTTTAGCAGTATTTTTGTTTTGCTGCCATCAGCCTCATTTTAACACTAGAAGTGCCAGAATTCCAAAACTACCAGAATGGCCACGAACGGTCATTTTGACCGTTAGATTCAAAACAGTGTTTATTTTATTGACGAATAATTTTCATAATTATTTTCATCAACCACATTTTTTCAAAGACGAAAACGAGACGATAACTAAATAAAAACTAGGTTTGAATGACAAAAACTATGACGAAATGATAGTGACGATTTGCGAATCGGTCAATAGGCTAATAATAATAATAGGACTAGCAGAACTAGTGAACAGCCCATGCAGCAAAACAAACAGCGCAGGACAGGGCAGCAGAGCTCACCAGGATCATCCGTCTGGATCCGCCGTGTCTGATGATAGATACCGTCTCTTTTTCCTTGATGTGGACTCTGACTCTGAATCACTCTCTGATGATATATAGCCTATAGATAACGTAAGTATTATAGATAACTGTAGTCTGGTTTTATTTGCTTATTTATGATCAACAACTAATGTAGAGATTATTATATAGCAAACACCGCTACAGAGGTGACCGGACGGACCTTATGTTGACAGTTGAGAGAGAACACGATCAACTGCGGGATATTTAACAAAAAAAAATCGCGAAATTCAGTGCGGTCAATATGACCGTCTATGGCCGAAATACAGTGCCCTCCACAATTATTGGCACCCCTGTTTAAGATGTGGTCGAGGACTTTTAAAAATTCTCCCTTTTTTTTAAACAACATAGAACCCAAATGCAAAAAAAGAGAAAAATCCAACCTTTTATTTAAGTACATTACTTTGGTGGTAAAAAAAAAAAATTTAAATTTAAAAAAATAAAAACTTCAAATCATGTGTGCCACAATTATTGGCACCCCTGATGTTAATACTTTGTACAACCCCCTTTTGCCAACAAGACAGCACTTAATCTCCTCCTATAACATTTCACAAGATTGGAGAACACAGAGAGAGGGATCTTTGACCATTCTTCTTTGAAAAATCTTTCTAGATCATCCAGAATCCTGGGCCCTCTCTTGTGCACTCTCCTCTTTAGCTCACCCCACAGGTTTTCGATTGGATTGAGGTCTGGGGACTGAGATGGCCATGGGAGGACCTTGAGTTTGTGACTGAACCATTTTTGTGTAGATTTTGCCACACGTTTTGGATCATTATCCTGCTGAAAGACCCAATGACGACCCATCTTCAGCTTTCTGGCAGAGGCCATCAGGTTTTTATTTAAAATGTCCTGGTAGTTCAAAGCGTTCATAATGCCATGCACCCTAACAAGGTTCCCAGGGCCTTTGAAAGAGAAACAGGCCCACAGCATCACAGATCCTCCACCATACTTCACGGTGGGCATGAGGTACTTTTCGGCATACACATCTTTTGTTTTACACCAGATCCACTTAGAGTGTTTGTTGCCAAAAAGCTCAATATAGTCTCATCCGACCAAAGCACACGATCCCAGATGAAGTCCCAGTGCCGCTTGGCAAACTCCAGACGTTTACGTTTGTCAGTGTTAGTGAGAAAAGGCCTTTTCCTAGCATGCCTCCCAAACATCTTGTTGGCATGTAGAGAGCGTCTGATGGTTGTTTTGGAGATTTTGTGACCCCAAGATGCCACTATTTGATGCAATTCTGTGACAGTGAGCTTAGGACTTTTTTTTACTTTTCTTAGCATCCTCCTCACTGTGCGTTGTGGCAAGATAAACTTGGGACCTCTTTCAGCCTTGTTTGTCACTGTTCCAGTTGTTTTAAACTTCTTAATGATTCCTCTAACTGTAGATACGGGCAAGATAAGGTGAGTGGCTATTTTCTTGTAGCCATTGCCTAACTTATAAAGGTCAACACACATCTGCCTTACTTGAATGGTGTGTTCTCTTGTCTTTGCCATGTTGACAAATGGGTAAGAGAATTAGGCCTCTGTGTCATGTCACATTTATACCCCAGGGAAATAGGAAGTCATGAATTACTAATTAAAAGTTGCTAGATATCCTGACCAACATTAGCAACTACAGAAAATATATATATTTTTTAAATCAATTACATTTTTTAGCGGAATTGTTAGGGGTGCCAATAATTGTGGGACACATGATTTGAAGTTTTTATTTTTCTAAATTTTTACATTTTTTTTTACCACCAAAGTAATGTACTTAAATAAAAGGTTGGATTTTTCTCTTTTTTTGCATTTGGGTTCTATGTTGTTTAAAAAAAAGGGAGAATTTTTAAAAGTCCTCGACCACATCTTAAACAGGGGTGCCAATAATTGTGGAGGGCACTGTAGGTAAATATGTTCATTTTTTTTTTGTTTTGCCTTACGTTTACGTAACTTAATTTATATGAAAAGCATTTTAAATGAAAATACAGACAATTTTAGGAAAAGTCAGGTACCAACAGGATTTTATTATTTTTTTCAACAAAGTTATTGTAGATATAAAATTCAAAACGGTCAAAATGACCGTTGTGGCCGTTCTAGTGTTAAACACATTTTTCCGTCTAGCAGTTAAAAACAACCACATACCGAGAATCAGGAACACCATCCCCTCGATAGTCTCCATTGTTCCTGTGTTGTGGGTTTGAAAATGTGGCGCTTTTAAGATGATGTCATGGCAGTAGAGGCGCGCGCAAATAACGATCAGTCCCACACACTTTAAAGGGGTACTACTGCGGTGGAAACGAAAAGCGATCCGAACTGTTCCGCGCCGAGTCGAAGCGTACTGAGCCGAACCGTACCGTACTATGCAGTGGAAAAGCGCCATTTGTTCTCTCTTGGAGAAAGAACATGACGTGTTAGTGCAGAAGTCAGCAGAGTTACAGAGACGGCCCAGTGGAGTTTGGAAATGTAGAAAAAGAGACATACACACTAAATGGTTGAATCTCACGGAAATGGTCGTATTTCTCCCAAAATTAAAAAGGGGGGAAAAAATGTGTTTTTTTGCATATAGTAGCCTATTCAGAGACCATTAAGGTTGTTTTACATTTTCTTCCAAAATTCTCATTACAGTAATGCTTCTGAATATTCTTAAATGCCAGGAATGTAAAACAATCTTAAATGTTATTTTTAAGTGAAACATGACAGTTTTTGACATGTTTTGTGAGATTCACAAAACAAACGGAAATAAGTCAGAAAGTTTCCAAAATTGACAAATTAAATCAGGTAAAGGATGGAGAGTAAACAAATCATAACCAAATAATTCAAGCTCGCACCAAGCAAGCTAATGTAGGCAAAACATTTATAAAATGTTGCCTAACAAACTCACACAGGCATTGTAATTAAGCCATAGCACAGCTTTTGTTAAAAACATAGAGAAGCTGCTTCTGTTCTCAGAAAAGCATAGCAGTTTTTATCAAGAAAGTTTAAATGTATTATTGTAACCATTTTGTTATAGTTATACTTTGCAGCAGGGTGTAAAAGCTGAACCCGTGGCAGAGAGGGTCCAAACAAGGGCACATGTTACCTGACACTTCCCCGGGAGTGGTGCCGGTTCGGCCGATGTTGGTCAGCAGGTGGTCGATGTTAGGCACAGGCTGAGACTCCACAGCACTCTCCTCCTGGACTGTAGTCTGAGCAGACACACAGAAAGGACAATTCACTGAAGAGTTGCAATGGCTTAGACAAACTAATGAAAGCACAAGTAGAAACTAGTTTTTAACATTTTTGGAAGAAAATGTGAGTGTTTCGTTCACCCATGATCTAGGGAGTTTTGATCTAGGTGATTTTTAGTGTATAAGATCTTGGTGGATGCTAGGTGCTACTTGCTCAAAACAGCACATTCAGAGATACACTCCAAAGTTTAAAGGCCCACTGAAGTGCTTTGGATGCACAGAGTTGTATGATGTGTTGACATAATTTCAACTGAAGCTAAGGCAGGGCATATTGAAGGGCTCCTCCCCCTTTTCAAATAGCCAATAGCGTTTAGTTTACCTAACAGAGTGTAAACAAATCGTACTTGACAGTAGAGGTCTTCACAGTGCACCCGAGACCCGTCGGCCCCGGACCCGACCCCGGACCCGTACGGGTTCGGGTCTATATTTTAAATGAACAGCCGAGTCTGGGTCGGGTCCGAATCTATTACTTCGGGTCCCGGGTCTGTTTAACATTGTGTGTAATACCAACGCATTCTCATCCTTTAGCGTCATATAGGACGCGCTGAATAACAAAACGGCGAAATACTACTCACATGGCACCCGTTATCGTTAATATAACACGCGCTGATATCGGGCTGGTAATACACGTGCGATCGGAGTGCAATCTCAAGCGCGTGTCATGTTTCTATGGCAACCAGAGCAGAGCTTCCGCCAAACCGCGCTTTGCATTTTCTCCAATGTTTATAATAATATAAATGAACCATCTTGTTTAATCTTAAAGTTTTGGTGGTCAGATTCAGACTCAATGAAGAGCAGAGAGCACAGATATGATCAAGCTGAACAAGCAATCGTTATTATAGTTCAAAAGGGCAAACAGTTAAAGTTATTACGCGAGTTAAGTCAGAATGTGCATGTGTAAGGCTGCATTTTTCATCCATCACCGTGACATCAAGTGGACTTTTCGGACTCCGGGTCGGTTCGGTGTAGCATATTACGGGTCTCTTCCGGGTCGGGCATGAATTTTTGGACCCGTGAAGACCTCTACTTGACAGCGCCATGGAAGCGAATCTGAGCTCTGATGATACGCTGGATTCAATAGTAGAGGTGTGAATAAATTCTAGCCATTTGATTCTTAACCAATTGGAAAACAAAATAAAACTCGAGCGTTTGAGCAACCGAACACATATCTCCAGCACATATTGCTCCGTGACCTGTCAAAGGTTTCTTTGGCCAAGTGGTATTTATAGCATGGGGGTGGGATGCTTTAGATTCTAGAGAGCATTTGATAGGACAGAAGATGTGGTGAAAAGCTGAGGTTCCCAGTTATGATAAAAATCTGTGATACATTTTAGCGGAAGTGAATAAATTTGATAGAAAATAAGTAAATAAATGTGATACATTTTAGCGGAAGTACTTCTGCGTCGAACTCCTGCTGTAGCCACGTCGTAGGCAGTGTGTAGCGCGCGTACCCCGACATGCACCTCTCCAAAAATGTAACAACGCGTCAATTTTACGCAGACCGCAAACGCTATGATTGGTCTACTAGAACCCCTCTCTCGGGTTTCACATTCTCCCTCTGCATGTGTAAATGCATGTCAACGTGGACCACGATGCAGAAGTATAAATGAAAACCAATGAGTAGCCTACAGCGTAGAGGCTTCGGCGTAGGTCTGACGCACAGGTATAAATAAGCCTTTAGTTTTGAATGCTTATATTTTTGTTCATTGTTTTGGAAAACACAAGCTTATTCAAAACCTTAAGGCTAACATATTCATACTAAAAGCTAAAGAACGTACATTTAGATTTCAGGGGGCCTTTAAGAGTTACTTTGGTTTAGCGGTTTGCTCAAATCCATTTTCCACTGCGAGGACTAACAACGTGTTGGGTGAGGCCAATAGCCTCGGACCTTGAGCCGCAAGGCCAAAACCAAGCTATGTTTCCACTGTTGGACCAGTAGCTTTACAGCGCTACCCTAAAACCCGGCCTTAACACAACACAACGTCACACAACCCCACTGTTTCACCAGCAGGGGAAACCTAGCGAACTGAAAACTAACTAGTGCTCATCAAACATGTTCAAACTGTATATATCATCATCCAAGAAATGATGCATTCTGAGGATGTTTGAGCAATCTCTCCAAGGGGGTAATCCATCCACCAGAAACTGAAGCCTCGCGGGGGCCGCCATTGTAGCTGACTATCACCTGCTGTTAGCATTCCATTGACTCCCATTCATTTTGACGTCACTTTGACAGCAAATATCTTTACATCTGAGGCATCCAAAGACTCCATTTGTCCATTATTTATTTCTAAAGAAACACGACAATGTATAAAAGGCTCCATTACCTTGTATCTTACGTTATGCCCCCATAGAAGCAGACTCTCAGTCGCACAGTAGAGACATTACCGTATAGACAAGATAAGAGGAGAAGCCTGTATAAAGTCAGCTAAAGTCAAGGGAAAAGCCCATAGAGAGTCATAAAGTTGCTCCTGCTGCTAGCTCATGGACAGCTAATACTCACTCTCTTCGTCTCTGTGAGATTCGGAAGTGAATTATTCAGATTTCACTCGGCACAGCTACTAGTAGACACACAGGTTGCTCATGTGATAGGCTCAGTTTGAGCCTGCGCAGTATGCTTGGTTATCAGCCTTTAACAGGCTTCAATTTTCTCTGTTGAAATCAATGGGGTCGCTGTGTCCCTTTCTTTTCCTGTCTATGGATCTCTCCCATCTCACTACACTGTTATCCCTTCAGTCAGAGCAGCAGAGGGCGCTCACGAGCAGAAAACAGGAGTTATATCATTTATAACATATACAGATGCAAAATTCGGTATCAACAAAAGCACAGGAAAGAGACAGATGAAACATCAAACCAAATACCAAATTCAAGCAGTCTCAGGTATTTTCTATAATCAAATGTGTATTTATACTATGGCAATGGAAAGTAGCTTTTAGGACTGCAAATATATTTTTGCCCCATACTGTGATCAGAATCCCCATCAGATCATAATCGGAAGGTATTTCACATACTTGCTGATGTCTGAAAAGTGAGTTGAGCTGAAATTTGTTTTAAATATCTTTAATGTTGAGGTTAGCTGCAATCCTGGTATGAAAACATTCGAAACGATCATTGGTGTTGACTCTTAAACTCCGCCTCTGTTCATGACCACTCCTCAAGTCCCTATTGGCTCACTTTGGTATTCACTGGGCCAAAAATCTCAGACCGTAGGCCCCAATGAAGCACCGTCGAGGCCCGATCAAGCCCTGGAAGTAACAGTGGAAATGCGACTTGCCCAAGCACGCACTAGCATATTCGTTTTTGGCCCGGCAGTGGAAACACAGCTCATGATTCCTACCTTAGCAAACATATCTAAAAAAGGATTAAAAAAAAAACGAATAAAACAAATAGTGGAATAAAGAAAGAATCTGTACTAATACACACCGTAGGCTCCTTATCACCCTCCTCAGTGAAGAACCAGTCGTACTGCAAGAGAAAACACCAGACTTCATTCAGAAATGTTTCACCATGACATCTAAAAGTTACTTTCTTTTCACATGAGAAGAATGAAGAACTCACATGCTGAATGAGCGTTTCTACAATCTTGTATTGGTCTGGCATGTGTGTCACCATGTGAGTCATATTGTCTTCAGATGTTCTCACAAGTGTTGGGCCGAAGACAATGGCCAGATTACGTGGCTCCATCTGACACAATGATAAATGAGCAAAATGAGACATTTCCTTATACTGTATATGAAAAACAAAGAGAGTGTTCATGTGGATTCTTGTTCCGTATCTGTCATGGTCTTGTTGTGTATGATGTACAGTAACTCTAAAAATGACTTTCCTTGTTGGTTGTCGTAACCAAGCCCTTTTAATTTTCAGCAATCAACTTTTGAATATCTTTTGAAATTAAATATCTCCATCACTGAAAATCTGTCAGAAAGCTTGAAATGTCTCGAGGGCCCTGTATTATGTGTTCTTTTCCATTCTGTTTTTGAACGGAAGAAAACATTCTGTGAATATCCCAAAATTGTTTTACCTTGTTTTTTTCGGAATTATCAGCCACAGTTTTGAGATGTGCCGAGAGGAACTTCAGTGTTTCATAATGATGATCAGGCAACTCGTGCAGCTGAAGAATGAGAGGTTTATTCAGAGAGATTATTACCACTGAAAACACATTTTGTTATTGAGGCAAACTGCTGCTTACCAGTCTCTTGAGCACTTTGAGTCTCTCTACAGGATCCTCTATTCTGTTGGCATCAATAAAGTCTGCATACCTATCTATAGAGGCCAGATCATGAAGGAACATTATTTCAGCCATGTCAGGTGTTGAAGTTGCATGCCTAATTCACTCACAACCACTAGATGGCAAACTATACAATTAATGTTGAGCAAGAGAAAATATATATCAATACAAAATGAGTCATAAAGATCCTCAAGCAAGGGAATTCCCACAAAGACTTTTACCGTTAGTGAAGAGGGGTTCAGGAAGTTTCCTGAAGAAGGATTTGAGTAAACTGCTGATCACATTCAAGTCCTTCCATTTCTGTCCAAGTATAGAGAATGTATTAAAAAAAGAAGAATAGGAGGAAGAAGGACGTCAAGCAAAAAAGCTGAGAAAATGTACACTTACATCATCCTGAATATCAATGTCCCCCATGCCCTTGTGATTGAGTTCTTCTTGCATGATGGAGATGGCAGAATTATTTCCTGGCACTCTGTAAATGCCTGTGTATTCCAGTCCTCGCTCTTCCACCAGGTTACAGCACACTTCAACTATCAGAGGAACAAACTAAAACAAACAAAGTTCAGTCAAATACCTGCAAGCCAATATAAACCCCCGAGACAGCACGCCATATGAGAGTGTGCTGCTTACATAGACAAATATGACTCCAAAATCAGCAGTATGAAAAACATATCAGTTTCCAAATGCAATTATGTTCATCCCACACACTTAAGTAAACAATTACTCTTTAAACATTATTAAACACCTACAGCTAAAAACATCACAACGGTAGAGAGCTCACTCCCCTTTGTGAAAAAAAGTATTTCATTGTACTGAATGTGCACTTGAAGTGTATTTCAAACTTTATATATATATATATATATATATATATATATATATATATATATATATATATATGAAGAGTTCAGATGCAAAAGCCTCTAAATGCCATTTGAAATTTTCTTCTAGAATGATAATTTTTATCAAGCTTGTATATTTAAGTTCAGTGATTTCACTTAAATGGCAATGATAATTACCTATTAATTGTTATTTAAGTGAAATTACTGAACTTAAATATACAAGTTTGATAAAAATCATCATTAAAGAAGAAAATTTCAAATGGCATTTAGAGGCTTTTGCATCTGAACTCTTCATATATATATATATATATATATATAACTGTACTTGCAGATATTATATTAATGAAATTAAAGCTCACTTAAGTGTACTTTAAGAGAATACACTTGTTAAATGGCTAACAGTTAAGTACATTTTCAAAAATTGCACTCTCTAATAATGTCAAATTTAAAGTTTTACTCAGAAGTGTATTTTAAATCATTATTCATTTGTCACAGTTTAAAAAAAAAGTATTTGATGTGTTAACCAAAATACTAAAGCACATGTAAAGTGCTTGATTTTAACAGTAGCGTTTTCTATATTGCATTTCAAGGTAATTTTAAAAGTAGTAAATTGCTCATTGTAATGTCAAAAAAAAAAAAAAAAATGTAATTAAAGTATATTTTAGTTTACCATAAATGCTTACCAGTACATTTGGCAGTACTTTAACCATATTTCAGTGGCAATATATTTCTAAAATTGCATATAAAGTTGTACTTAAGTGAGTCAAAAATGCTGTCTAAAATTCAGCTAATGGCATTTAATATAAATTTAAACTATAATCTAAATTTACTTGCAATTAACAGGCATTTAATTAAAGTTTTCAAAACATTACATTTAGTTCATATTTAAGTATATTCATTTAAAGTATATTATTATAGTATGCTAAAGAGTACTTCTTTTTCACAAAGGACAGTTTTAGACATTGCCATCAACAATGATTTAAAAAAAAAAAATGGTGGTCTTACTCTGTTGTTCTGAGCAGGAGGACAGTCATCTAGTCTTACTCCAAACGTGACTCCTGGAGACGGTTTCCTCTCAAATGGCTTTCTCATCAGTCCAGGGATGCCCTTCCTCCATGTGCCCTTATCCTTGGGTGGGCTGGTTTCATCTATTTACAGACAACCATAATAATGATATGTTAAAGAAACATAAGCACTTCAAACCTAGGAAGCCGTCTACCCAGCTCTCTCTATACACCTTCTAAGGCCGCATCCTACCTGAAAAGGAAACTCATAACGGACTGATTTGCAATGCTCTACAAAGACAGCAACTCTGTGCGCACAACACAAATAGCAGCAATCAACACCACTAATCAAGACCTTAAAGGGAGGGTAGGCAATTGTGGAGAGCATAGCAATCCCTTATGAAAACCAAATATATTTCCCTATATATGAATGATCAATATATTAAATGGTTCAACGGTATGTTTGAAAAAATATCATATATTACAATATATTGAATAATACATAAGGGATTGCAGCTTTATATTTATATTGCTACTTCACAAATATGTGACAATATACTGTATTTACTATGTAATTTTATATTCAGTAATACACTTCATAATACATGGATGCATATGTGATGCATGTGTAATATATTTTAGATATACTATTTACTCATGCACCATGAACACACATTTATAGAGAAATATATAATGTAATATTTTTTTTTAAAATTATTTACATTATAATGTTTCATATTTTCAAGCTAGTTAACAAAAGCACAAGCACACCTGCACACCTCACTCTCTAGAACATTCTCATTCACGGTAGTCCTCAGATGTAAGTCGCTTTGGATAAAAGCGTCTGCTAAATGACTAAATGTAAATGTTTAGCCAAGAGACTATCACTGCGCAGAGGAGGAGAGCATAGCCATTACTTTTAAAATATAGTAATTGATAATTATAGTCTTAATGCTGCTCGATCAATCGTTAACCGAACCACAGAGTCTACTCTAGAGCATAATCATAACCCCAAAAACTAAGACATACCAGAAAACCTTTAAAATTCCAAAATAATAGAACATTAAAAACCAACAGATCTCCCCTATATTAATATTGAGCAAAACACATGAAATAAAAATGTACTCTCCTTTAACAGTTGGGAACTAGAAATCTGTTGTAACTCATTCTGTGAATGTGTGTGTGTCTGTATATATGTGCGAAGATAAATTAACATTTATATGGGAACATGTATGTGCAATATGTACACAATAAAGGATACCGCTTTGTGAATATTACATGTAATGCTTTTTTTGTCTTCATTTATACAAATTTTATATGTATAATATATAGCCATACATTGTCAATATTGCAGTATATTGAAAAATACACTACAGTAGCTTCCCATATATGGAAATGTATTATGTGCTAATGCATATCACATTATATTTTTCAGTATATTCCCATATATTTTTGTTCCATAAGGGAGAGCGAGCTAGCTTTGAAAGCATGAGATACCACACTTCCTTCAGACTGTCTCCAAAGCCACACGTCCTTCAAAACACATGAACACACAGCAGAGTCTGCAAAGCGTCACGAGGCGAGAGACGCTCTTAAACTACTTCATGTTTCAAACCACATAACATTACAATAATAATTTACATAAGCAACTTACACAGCTCTTGCTTATACCACTTGACTGCTGCAGATTATTTTCAGTATTGATAGTTATGACATAGAAACTCATAAATTTGAATAGCTCCAGGTACATCACGGGTTGCCATCTCGTATAGTTACGACATGGCACGAACGCAGCACAAGCTTGTTGTTTTGGTTCAGGAGGAACTATAAAAAGCGGTTGCTGTTTGTGGCGCTTGGTGACTGTCGGTCTACAACTCTACAAAGACTTACAGAACACACTGATGACGTATAATGTCTGCACCAGCAGGGTGGAGATATGGAAATACATATGTTGACAAGCAGATACGCATCATTGAATTTAGTCGGATTGGATGAACCTTTAAAGTTGCAGCAAGCAATTTCTAAGAAAATGTTGATATTTGAAAATCAAGCCAAACAAACACACCCCTCCCTTCATTGGAAGAGTGGATGTCTCTTTATCAAATCTGAAGCGAAGAAAAAAAATAAAATAAAATAAAGTGAATATGATGAACAAACTACAAGAACTACAAATGAACATACAGTACACAAGAGTATATACAAGCAAGAGATAATTGTTAGTCGTCACTCGTCAGCAGCACACTAGCTCCAGACAAACAACTGTCCTGTTACTATAGCTAACATTACAACAACAGCATATCTTAGTTCTGTGAAACATGGTCTGTCCAGCACTGGAAAGATTTCTAATATTAACGCAGGTCCTAAATCAGAACTCTTCTTTTTCCCGTGATATCACTCTGACTGTTTCTCTTTTGTAATGTCTCTCAGCTATCACTCTTTCTTTAAATCTCTCTTCCCCTATCATGAGTGTATATGAAGAGTTCAGATGCAAAAGCCTCTAAATGCCATTTGAAATTTTCTTCTAAAATGACCATTTTTTTATCAAGCTTGTATATTTAAGTTCAGTAATTTCACTTAAATGACAATTAATAGGTAATCTTCATTGCCATTTAAGTGAAATTACTGAACTTAAATATACAAGCTTGATAAAAATGATCATTTTAGAAGAAAATTCCAAATGGCACTTAGAGGCTTTTGCATCTGAACTCTTCATATGCTCCCTACTGCTGATTGACTACAAGTGTGTTGTGGTGCTCGGTCCGATCCACTTTCAACAACGTTCTTCAGAAATCGCCTTTAACACCTTTAACACACACAAGTACTGGACAACATTTTTATTGATACTTAAAAGTACTGAATACAATACAAAGAATCCCGAGTTAATGCTCTTGATGCTGTTACCTTTGTGCATGGCTTTTCTGTCGTGGTCCTTGTTTGGCGAGTGAGGACTTGTGGCTTTATTCTCGCCCTTACCACCCAGTAATGTCTGCCTGATGGACTGACGGGAGGCCTTGGGCGAGGGTTCTGTCTTACTGCTGGGAGGACTGCAACACACATAATTCCGAATCAAGATCTAGATAAGGAAGAAGTCTTCCAAAAATTTGATGGAAATTCTTCCTGCTTACCTCATCAGAGTGTTGTACTCCTTTATTTTCCGGTTGATGAGGTCTGTGCTAGTAACAGTCGCATTCTACAAAAGGAAAAAGGAAACAGAGAGAAGGGAGACAAAAGTGAGTGGATGAAATGTAAGAGTGGAATCCCCAAACACACCAGAGGGCTTTTGGATATCCCTGTGCTATTAGAAGACGACACCATATTGTGGAGATGCCATTTTTCCTCAAGAGTTACTATTTCTTACAAAAAAAAGCCCTAGGTTATGTTCAGCTATTGTAAAAAGTACCTTTAAATAGGGCCTTTTTCCATGATTCATAAGAAAGTTCAAAACACCCACCATATCAATATCAGTACTAGACTTGAAAAGATTTACCCTGTACCACTCACGTCACTAAACGAAAATGCAAAAATAAAAAAAAAGTTTCCCGTCAGCCTTTGTTATCCTTTGGATTTAGATTAAGCTATATTGTTTTTATAGTGTTGTCTAGCCCACTTCGGCACAAAGGCAAGCATCTTACAACTTCCAAGCATCCAAGTCAGTCTTACAGGGATAGTTCACTTTGCCTTTGTTATCCTTTGGATTTAGATTAAGCTATATTGTTTTTATAGTGTTGTCTAGCCCACTTCGGCACAAAGGCAAGCATCTTACAACTTCCAAGCATCCAAGTCAGTCTTACAGGGATAGTTCACTTTGAAATTGTTTTTTGATATGTTTTAGCTTACCTCAAGGGCATCCAAGATGTAGGTGTCTTTGTTTCCGCAGTAGTTTCAATTTTGATATTTTTACCACATATTGTAACCACAGCCACAAAGCGCCCCGCCCTCAGATCACCTGGACGTGGCCGTGGTTACACGAGGTAAAAACGATATAAATACTGTTCGTTTTCTCACACAAACCGCTCGTTTCGTGTCTTAGGCCATCAACGTGTACTTACATTTACGAGTCATTAAATCATGTTTAATTTGGACTTCTCTGTGCATGCTCTTTGAGGTGGTGACCATAGACCTTCATTATATGACTGACAGACCAGAACGGTTTGACCTAAAAATATCAAAATTTAAACCACTGAAACAAAACAAAACAAAGACACCTACATCTTGGATACCCTAGAGATAAGCTAAAACATAACAAAAATTAATTAAAGTGAACTATCCCTTAACATAATTGGGATAGTAAAGATGTAAGTGAGTCAGACACTGTATGAATTCTGAAGTTACCAATTGAATGCCTGGTATTGCTCCTTTATAAATATGAATCGAAATTGTATTTGTATTTGAAGGAAAAAGTGCTGATCATTCACCTCTTCATCCAAGTTGCTGTTCTCTTGAATGACTCGGATCCAGGACAGCATTTCCTCTCGATCCTCGGCCTGGAACAGGTATTCACAGTCTGACGTCGTCAGCCGGAAGACGTTCTTCCGCTTTGTGTCACTGTACGAGATGTCAATGAGACAGGCTTTGATGCTTATCGCCAGAGGCTCGTCTTCGATCGGGGAGTTGGCGTTGGTTTGTCCGTCCCTCTTGTCTTTGTACAGGTAGAGGCAGTGGCCACGGAGCACAGCGTAGATCTGCTTCCATGACCGTATGCCGCTGCCAACGCGCTGTAGGAAAGATAACAGAATTATGAAAATATGATTGGATTAACTGAGCCAAGTTAAAATAGCAAATATACACAAGCTGTTTGTCAACTATAAACAGCCTACATTTTAATTCAAGTTATGAATGGGTTTATTGGATAGTTCAAAGTTCAAATGACAATCACCAGTGACAACAAGAGATTCACCCGATGTAAAATGCAAAAGACTTCGGACTTTGAGGTGGCTATAGAAAAAAAAGAGACTACAAAAGGGCCCATTTGAAAACAAGAATAATATCGGAAAGGCATTAAATGTAGTCACGCATTGTTGATGTTGTTAACATGAACAATTCGAGAACAAAGTATAATTTGCACGGTTTGACATGTCAAAGCGATCAAATGATTTAATCAGTGCGATTTACAGCCGCACATTCTCCTCAAACCTTGGATCCATCCGTGCTGTGCCATGCCGAGGCGCAACCCACGTAAAGTTGAAAATTCCACGAATAACTGCAATTGCAAATTTTAAACAGAGATGACGTCAAAAATGACGGTTTCGGGTTTCAGTCTAGTGCATCCAGATTTTAATCCAGAATTTGAATTTTGGTGCATCCCTAATTGTGCTTATAATTAATAATATAATTTTATCATATACCTGATGCTGCTGTATTTTACACCCTTAATTGTGGTAAAGTCGCTATACAACAGTCTTATTGTTGGCTTATTGTTTAAATGTACCACATATTGTACATGTTTTAACCTTTATACCTGTCTGAGTGGTATAAAATACGATCTCATAAGACAAGATCTCTCGCACTACAGTACTTTGGCCAACATTAAATGTTTCTGAAAGCCTGCCAGCCATTCACATTCAAACTCGTTTCAACACGTTTACAATTATGTTTGACAAGGACTTCTACAGCATCACAGACCAGCATGATCTGCCGACACTTTCATTCAGTACAGGGAACAAGAGAAAACATGATTGGTGTTTAATGGTGTCTTACCTTGCCCTTATCTGAGTTCAGCTGCCGGAAATGAAGCGGACCCTCCTTGGTTGCATCAGTGAAGACATCTGAAGTAGAGTCTCTCCTAGAGCCAGAGTCCTCAGAGGACCTGTCAACAGCCTGAAATACACCAAATGCGCAATTCACATTCTTTGACAGCTGCCACTGAAATGAGGACCACTGAGCTCAATCGTCTAATTGAAACGGACATCAGATTATTAGATGACAAGCAATTTTTTTTTTTACATTTTAAATCAAAATAATTACATATGTTGATTAATTAATCAATATCCAATGTGGATGGTTCTACAGTCATTCTGTGCTAACAGGTGGGACTATCAAAAACATAAATGTGACACTTTAAACTTACACTTCTCTCATAAAAAAACCAATTAAATTGTCAGATTTTAAGCCCTATCATGCACCCGGAACATTGCAAGTGTTTTTTCTAGTTGCAGCCCGACACAGTTATCATTTTCACGTCCTGCGCCACATTGTTTATTCGCCCATCTATTCGCCCATGGGCGTGCTGGTATTCAGGTGCATTGTTGGAGATCAGGTGCCAACTGGACATAACTTTATCTAAGGTGTAAACTAATCATAATGCAGTTAGTGTGAGTCTTAGTCATATATTATCTCTCTATTACAGCAGTCTCACCTTTCTAAGGCCCTTGAATCCATGGGTGTGTTTAATAGACCGCCTGTACAAACACAATAAACACAGAGGTCATATAATGCAAGAAACTATAATGGAAGAAGGTTGATTTTTCATCATTGTGGTCACTGTACTAATTTGGTTTTAAGTAGTGACTGTAAACTTACCCTCTTCCTTCTTCTCTGTAATTATCCAAGCCCTCATCGAAGGATCTGGAGCGCTCTGTTTTAGCTCCAGAATCAGATTCCAGAATTGTGAGACGTAAAGAATCTAGTTTGGAGATATAGGTGAATTCATAGTTAAAAAAGAGACACAATTCTGATGTCACTGAGATATTGTATGTGTTGGCAGAGATGGTCCTCACCCTGGTCATGGGAAAGCTGTCGGCGTATTACGGGAGAAGGGGAAGTTGGACTGGGTGGGATGGTGGTGATGATAGGCATGCTGGAAATCACGGCAGATGCAGGAATGTGTGTTGTGTCATGGTCATTACTGGAGCTTGACGGCTCATCTGATGACAACAGACATGAGACACTCATAAGATCTTTTATCTTTGTAGTGCATTGCATGGAGTAATGAAGTCCAATAGACACAACAGAATCAGACAGTCAGGTAAGCGACAGGAAAGTCGCTTACTCATACAGCAAGCAATCATTAAATGATAAGACTCCCACACCTTTTTATACACAGTCAGACGATATAAAAACAATAGAGCAGACGGGTTGCATCACTGGGGGAAAAAAAAAGTACATTTTTAACCACATGACTTTAATTCCCTGTAGTTTTAGGTCCTAGCAACTAGCTCTCTCTGCAGTCTCTGTGTAATACACTAATACAATTTATGATGGAACAATTAGGTGTGTTTATTTGGTTCTTGAAAAAAAAAAGCGATAAGTTTACAGTCTACCAAACCCAACACAGTCAACCAAATTAAACAAACTCAACCATAGTCACAGTGTTTTAAATAATGCACAAAACCAATCGCAAAACAAACCCACACCAAAGTGTATCAAATTAACTTTAAAAAAAGTCTACTAGGGCTGCCCCTGACTACATTTTTTCCTAGTTGACTAGTTGTTAATTAGTCAACTAATTGCATGTTTAGCCTATATTAATTTAATCACCTAAACATTACTGGGTGCAGAAGCCCACACAAGCACATGCATAAAGCTTTCCGCAAAGGACTGGCAAAAGTAATGGTTATAAATGTGGAGGAAAAAGTATCAAGGAGACATTTTAATTGTTTATTAATACTAGTGTTTTCTGTGTCAGTGTCGGCTGCAAAGATGAAGTTGACGATGCTGACTCGACATCACAGTACAGTCAACGTGCCTAAATAGAGAGAAAATTACCTGTCATATCACATGGATTACATAATTATGGATAACATAATCAGAGTACTTGTTTTCGAATTGTTTCTTTTAAAACTCGACATGTGTAGCTTTCTATATATATATACTGTATATATATATATATATATATATATACACTGTATATATATATATATATATATTTCTTGTCTGTGAGGCAAGTAGCCATGTATGCTGACTTTTGGTTAATTGTTGTGACACGCTCCAGTTCACAGAGACGGTTTGGAATTATGTATTACTCTTATCTGTATGAAAAAAAAAATTACGTTTAAAAAATGCAAGTGATCAAGTCAGTGCTTCAATGTCAATGTCATGTGAGTAAAGCACGCTTATACTTCACACTGTATAAAAAAGTTGCCGTCTTAAATTTTTAAGTACAATCAACTTTGTTTAAGTCATTTCAACTTATATTACTTTAAACTGACTTGAATTGCTTAACTTTTGAAGAGTTAAAGAAATGTAAAAACATATGCTGTCATAACACATGGATATGCACCTAATAATAGCACACATTTATCTAGGTTAACAGTTTGAGTTAAGTTGCTACTTGCATGTTCCAAATGATAAGTCACATTTGAGGTAGATGGATGATAGAGGAACATTTGGATTTCCTGACCAAAACACACTGTAAAACACATTATACCAAATCAAACATAAAAAACCCATTGTTTTGAAAGAGATTAGATTTCAGGAACTAATCAAAAAATAGAAATATTTGAGCTAGTTTCCACTGGTATGTTCCATTACATTGTCATATCACTTTACTGCCCTCTTGTTTGTTTGAGTTTTGATGAGCTATAGGGGGAGTAGGAAAGTGTCAGGGAATGGCAGTGGAAGTGGCTGCCCTGGGTGGAATGTGTCAGTATGTCACATTATCTGTGCCCCTGTGGACTATGATGTCATGTCCTATCACTGTACTGGTGTACATTACAATTTGGAGTTGCTCCCAGGGACTGACCCATGCACTTCACAAACACATTGAACTAGTTGCGTACATATCAAAGCCCATGACACATTCTATAATTAAACGTGCAGGCTGGTGGAGTATGGAACTGTATCTTGAGAAGCACAACCATTTGTGATGACCAATCAACAAATTCTACTGTCTTCATGTTGGACATACCTGACGAATCTGTAGCCCCTTTTCCACCAAAGCATTTTTACCCCTTTTCCACAATGGCGCCACCAGGGGGTGGCCAGGGGTGGCCATGGCCACCCCTGGCCGACTCCTGGCCACCCCATTGGCCACCCCAATGGCCAGTATTAATTTTTGTAGCATCAGTTATGCATTTTATAAATAAGTCAAAAATATTCTTAAGTAAAAGAAGACGGGGAATTATGTATCGTGAAGTGCTTTTTAAGTGCCAAATGGTATACTGTTACAGCAGCTTTTAGGTGTGTTTTTGCCACGTTTGGACAGGCAGGGATGCAAACAGCGCGCTTTTCGGCGCCTCCCGCTTTTTTCACGTCAGTTTGGGTGACAAAGTCATCTGAAGTCATTCCATAGCTTAATGTGAGGGACAGAAGTATATTTACATCATTAAAGTATAAACTTGTTTTCCCTCCTCTGCGGCTGTCATTCTCCATTCATATTCAAACAGCACGCGCGCCTCTTGGATGCACGGTAAAACTCTCTCCAATATGATATATTGACATTATAAATGCATGATCTGTAGATAAAAGTCTGTATATTCGCATAAAATTACTTTATTTTCTTGGAGTTTGTTGCTGTTTTTAAACGACTCACTACCGTGTTCTGTTAGATCACACATATCACAAGGATTATGAATCGGCATCAAACGCACAATAACTGTGAAACAAAGGAACAAATCGCACTTGGATTTGTGCGCTCAACATTTCTTCGATTTGTGACATGAGCTTTTAAATGCGCACTTATGAAGCGCAGTGCTGCTGCACACTGTGACTCCATGTTGCTTTGAGCACATCATTCTGCACCCGCGATGCGCATACACGCTGTGTGCTCTCTGTTTTTCATGTAATCATGGGTTTGCGCACTGAAATATTATTAAAAGCCAATATATTTTGTTATACCTAGCCTGCTCAATACATTTTAAATAAGCATAATTTAATTGTATATAATTTATTTGTAGTTTAGGCTATGTACTTCTGAATTCTTGACATTAATATATAAATATAAAATTGTGACATGATTGCCTGATTGAATTTTAAAAGAGAACTAATAGTAATTTGTTTTTATTAACATATTTAGATTTTATAAAATTACTGTGCAGATTTTTTCAAGAATTACTTTTTGCTGCTGATGTATACACTCATTAAGTGTATTAAAAATTCATAATACATTTATGTAATATTTAAAGGTGTTAACTGTAATCTTACACTGCAAACTAATAACTTAAAAATGATTAAATTCATCACAATTATGTAAGTATCTGGAAATTTGCTGTGGGGCAAGGACCCTTATATATCATATCATTATATACAATGTAATATATATTATTTGGGCCCTACTAATATCATTAGTAACATTAAATATTACACAATAAACCAAAGTATATCAGTAGGAGTTTCCTTAAGTCTTTCTGATAGTTTTCTACAGGCTGGTTTATTACAACAGTAGAAAACAATTCTGAAATTATGGTTTTTACTGTAGTTTTGGTGTGCCACCCCAAGATTTTTACTGGCCCCATCTGGCCACCCCTACGAAAAATTTCTGGAGGCGCCACTGCTTTTCCACCCAAAAAGAACTGGTTCGGAACTGGTGCTGGTTCAAAGTTGGTTCGGAGTTGGTTCAACTTGCGAACCGCTTCAGAACCTGTTTGTTTTTCCACTGACTAGAGCGCCCCCAGGGAACGACGTCGTTACGTCACTGTGCACGTCGCTAGAAACGCTCGCAAGTACATTACTTTGGGATTATCTCTAACTCGTGTACCAAGAAAACTTTAAAAACAATTGAAATATGTAAGTCTTTTAATCTTTTCGTTTGATATGTAATCTTTTCTGATAAGTTATGTACCCCTGTCTTGTGTCTTTTTTCTTTCCATTTATTTGTTCTATATCGAGACTGTTTTCTTCTTTGCTTATGTTTAAAATAAAAACTTTCGTGTTTCTGCAGTTTCTCCTGGCTTTGCGATGGTCAGAAAATATGTTTAGAACACATCTAAACCCGCCCCAGCCCCCGACGTAAACATGACGTGCCAAAAGAACGGTTCTAGTCCAGCAAAGAGTTGGTGCCGCTTTGGAACCAGTTTTCCCGGCCGCGAACCGGTTCTTTGGCTGTCGAAACACAAAGAACTGGTTCACGCGCAGGCACCGGCTCCGAACTGGCTCTCAAAATGCTTTGGTGGAAAAGGGACTTTTGAGAACCGGTTCGGAGCCGGTTGGGGCGGGTTAAGATGCGTTCTAAACATCTTTTCTGACCATCGCAAAGCCAGGAGAAACACTTGCAGAAACACGATGGAGTCCGCCTTTGTAATTGTTATGCTTGAAGTTGACGCAAGCGTTTTTATTTAAACATAAGCAAAGAAGAAAACAGTCACGATATAAAACAAATAAATGGAAAGAAAAAAAAAGACACAAGACAGGGGTACATAACTGATCAGAAATGATTACATATCAAACGAAAAGATTAAAAGACTTACATATTTCAATTGTTTTTAAAGCCTTCTTGGTACACGAGTTAGAGATAATCCCATAGTAATATTGTACTTGCAAGCGTTTCTAGCGACGTAATGACGTCGTTCCCTGGGAGCTCTAGTCAGTGGAAAAACAAACAGGTTCTGAACGGGTTTGCAAGTTGAACCAACTCCGAACCAACTTTGAACCAGCACCAGTTCCAAAGCAGTTCTTTTTGGGTGGAAAAGGGGGTGTCTGTAATGCCTAGAAATTGGCCAATATAGTGAGGATGACCAATGACTTGAAATACACCTCCACTCTCTCTCTCTCTCTCTCTCTCTCTCTCTCTCTCTCACACACATACACACACACAGTACCAGACCTCTAACTACTCATCACTCCTCTCTGCCAACTTTGTTTACATTGAGTTGAGCTGTTCATCCTGCTGTTATTACGGTTAACATCATAAAACCTCACTGTTGTACACCACTTGATCTAAAGCTCTCTATGCAAAGCCTGGCCCATTGAGAACGAAGAAACAGTGTGGCCTTTTGTATGATTTATCTAAGCAATAAAAAAGCAAATTCATCAAGACCTGCTCTAGTGTGGCAGCACAGTGGAGTAGACAATGACAGCCTTGTGTAAAAAGTAGGGAGATTAAGTTCAGATGTTTAGTTAGATGTTAAGCTCTGAATAATATAAAACAGTGAATGTTGAGACAAAGTCTTTTCCCTGAGTCCCATCAGCTGCTTAATATTATAAACAGAGATACAGCAGGGACACATGTTCTGAAAATCACTTTGCTAAACACACTACTAACACAACATTTCACTTATAAGAAAATTAAGCATGCAAACAGCCAAAATAGATGCAACTGGCATATGCAAACCCCCTTGACTATATAAACGTATACATTTTTATATGAATTTGGAAGATGCTGGAACTACAGGCCTAAAAGTATTTGAAGTAAAGTAACAAAAAATGTATTAAAATCATGTTAACCTTTTCAAAAATCAGACAGACAGAACAGTTGCTATAGCAACAGAATGTGTGGTTATATTGTATAGTTGAAAAAGCCTCTCACCAATGAAGGGAATGGAGTCCAGTGAGTCATCAAGGTTGCTTGAAAAGGAGGTTTTACACTGGTCTCCTAGTTTCCTCATGTGCATTTTGCGTGGGGTATTGTTAGGCAGCCAGCATGTGTTGGAGACTGCAGGTGGTTCAGCCACTCCCTCTGTCTCATTCACCGCCAGAATGTAGGAAGTGTGGCGGATGGGTTGAGATCCAGACTTCTCCCTCCGAACAACTACTACAGTGGCGTTTGGACCCTCGATGCCTTCCACCACCTTCTCATTGGGAGTTTGTGGTTCTATGTACCTAGGCTGCTGAGGAACCGTTCCATTACTGTTCAGTAACTGGTCAGGCTTGGATCCACCTTGCTTTGTTCTATTGGGTTTAGTGACGGCAGAACAAGAAGAAGAGCGATGTCCACGGGCTACCTCTCTGACAGGCTCCTGAAGGCTGTCAGCCCGCCCCCTTGGCTGTAACTGCTTTGCATTGTGGGGCATGTGGTTGGCAGTGAGCTGTGTTCTTTGGTCTTTGATGGGGCCTGTGTTGGAACTACCAGTGATGTGGCCTTGTATTGAGGCCAGGGCAGAAGCTATATATGAAGCAGCAGCAGTGGAAGGGTCTGAGACATTTTTCACAGGTAGCGAGGGTCTGTTTACGGAAGGTGCAGATGTGTTACCCAGGCTTTCAGCTCTGGAGGAAAGCAATGAATCTGTACCTCTGCTAAAGTGAGGGGTGATAGGCAACCCTGGGTAACTGCCACCTCGTCTGTCTGGGCTAAATACACCCTGTGTTCTGTGAGGGGCCATGCGTAAGGAAGAAGACTGCCTGCATGCTCTTGCCTCATCCCCTCTGTGCATGAGTAACCAATCCTCTGTCTCAGTTCTGCAGCAAGCCTGCCTGTCCAACATGGATGTCGCATTTTCATTCTGTCTGCCCAGATAGTCACAAGAATATGCTCGCGGTTTCAGCACACCTGTGGGGGCCGACGGGAGGGCATCCTGGGAAGCACTGCGGGGCCAATTCCGTGCAAGAGCAGTCTGTTCTGAACCACCAAGCCTCTCATGAGAAGAACTACGCAAAGGCTGCACAGTAGATACCTGGTAACTCCGATCATGTGAGGCGCTCCTCCGCCTCAACTGTGATCCAGAAAAGCCTCGTGACGGCGTAGCTGTTGTTGACGCGCTCTTCGGCTTGCTGTATTCGCCTGTACTGGATGGGGATGCAGCTCGTAGACTGTCCAGGCGTTCCTGAATAGTCCGGGAGCCATACATGTAGAGCCGTTTGTTGTCAATGTACTCTTTGTAGGTGGTGTAGTTCCTCCAGTCAATATTCTGATGGGGAGAGCAGGGGGAAGGGGTGGCTGGTGGAGGAGATGGTGTGTAAGGGGTGGGAGAGGTGGCCGATGGGAAGGCTTCTGCTGTTGTGGTCAAGGTATGTCTGTGGGAAGATACAGGCTTCCTGTCTATGCAAGTCTGTGCTGTTTTGTCAGAGAACCCAGTGGGCTCCGCAGTTCTGTTGGGTTTGTGCGGTGATTGTGCTGCTGCCCCAGTTGGAGATGAAGTGACTGGAGCTCTGGACCTGTTAAAGGTTGGGTCTGTTGAAACCGCATTCTGATTCTCCTCCATCCTGTGGCAGGGACCAGCCCAGGCCACATGGGAAGATTGATCTGTAGTTTCAGGTGACGCTACCATTGTCCTAACGTTCTCATTAAATACACGCACAACAGTTTGGGTCTTGGGGACCTGAGAGGTTTGAGATGGGATAAGGGGAGATACAGGTATATCAAAGCGGCAGCCTATGTCAGGCTTGTGGCATCGATTTGCTCCTTGTCTGGTTCCACACGATGCCTCGGCAGAGCATGATGGCTCTGACACCTGTGCCATGGCCAAGGCATTGGGCTCTATCCGTGGGTAACATATTGGGGGCGGTTCGGGGATGTTCTGGGCATTTCCACTGTATGCCTCATTTCCTTTGAGGTACGCATCTTGAGAATAGGCCTGAAAAGAATGGAAATTTTATTCAATATAAAGAATGAGTAACATTACATGCACTAATCAAATACTGAAATACAAAATAGATTAATTGCAAACAGAGTTAATGTATCAAACGTAAAAAAAAAAAAAATGTTACTACTTTACTATTTATCTAGTAAATACAGAGGGGAGGTTGACCCCATGTCTTTCTCTAAAGTTCAAATGCATCCCAGGAAAAGAGAGAGAGGGGAAAAGGTCATGTAGCCAGGCTCAAAAGCCTTAACCTCAAGGAGGGATTAGGTATCAGAGGCTTACCTACCTTTAGCTGAGGAGAGAGAGCAGTGCGTAGACAAGAGGAAAAAGCGAGAGGAGGGCAGCCTTTCACCGAGCACTCAACAGACACTAGTAGCTGCTCTGTTATCATCTTACAAAGTCAACAGCCAACTAAAACCCTTAAGGTCAAAATACTACATAACATTCTGCTCAGGATATTACTCAATTTACAATGCGTCTTCTTATCGCAGGTCAATATATATAGCTGTCTCAGTGTGCATATGACAGAGCTCAGGCATTAATGAGAGTAAAGACGTGATAGCTGGACTTTTGACTCTACACCTGAAGTGTCGAGTTACACAGACATGTCCCTCCCTCTCTCTCTTCCTCTGTCTGCTCCGCCTCTTCTATGGAAATAAAGATGACTCAGAAGCCAACAAATTTTAAGGTGCAACCTCATGGCAGTGGAATAAATTAGGAGAAAAACGTGTTTTGTGATTGAACAAGCATATACTGTACCCAAGCTTGCAGTTCTTAAGATAGGTAAAGACTGGATTTTAACAGACATTACAACCAGAAAAGGGCAAAATTACATAACAGAAGAGAGGTAGCAAGTGACAGGTTTAGCTCCTTCTTACCAGAGCTGTGATATCCCTGGAGAACTGCAGCCGGAAGGTAAGATTGACAGCGGGAAAAACAAAGGAAGAAAGAACAGGAAAAAGAGCAATTGTGAGGGAAGATGACAAGAGCTCTACAGGTACACCAGAAGCAATCAGCCCCTATTCCAGACAGTGCTACTGTCATTCTAGTGCAGGATAAAGCATGCTATAAATACACAGTGCAGCAGAAAGAGAGAGAGAGAGAGAGAGAGAGAGAGAGAGAGAGAGAGAGAGAGAGAGAGAGAGAGAGAGAGAGAGAGAGAGAGAGAGAGAGAGAGAGAGAGAGAGAGAGAGAGACTACTGGAGGCCTGCCAGTCCAACACCAGAGATGAATCAGACAGAGGAGGACACACTTGAGATCAGAGGGGGACAACTGCTGCTCTTTCCAGAAGTGTTACTGCGGCTTTAAACCAAATAAAACTTTCACACAAACTCACACTCAGGCTGCATTCCCTTAAAAGAACCACTTTTTAATAATCGTAAGAACTTTTTTTCTACAATAAATAACTTTTTGTAATGGAAAGGTACCATGGATGTCAAAGGTTCTTTATGGAACCATCAATGCCCAAAAAGTAGCTTTATTTTAAGAGTGCTGTGACTGTCCGCACAATTCTGTTCTTTTCAAATGGCAGCTTCATTAATAAGGTAGTCCACAAGTGGTCAGCCAAGACTCATTGCTTTCTATACCGGGAAGTAATATGTCTCTCAAATGTGTCTTCTACGACCACTTTCACATTGGGTTTCAAGGGGATGTCTGTCACTATATCAATAAAAAAAATGTATAAAACTGCTAGAAATTATATTCTAATGATTTTCTCAAACAAAAAAGTGAAATTAGTATCCAATATTTTTGACAAAGTACACATTATCTGGCAACATGGATTTAAATGTAGCTAAAGTAGTGCAATGGAAGAAAAAATGAATTGCATCTACAAATAAGGCAAGCAAATGGATGGACATACATTTAAATCTATGCCTGCTACGAGTTTGTCCTTTACGAGTTTATCCTTTTTGTGAGCTTGTCCTGTGTTAGTTTCACAGTCAAAATAGGCACTTTGCAAGGTGCTGCTTTGGATCTGATCAGCTGACTACTTTGCATACAGTACTTGCCGTTCCCTGAAGTCCATTAGATATCTTCTGCCAACGATTCCCAAGCACACATGGTAATATGATCCTTTTTTTTCTACCTCTACTCGACCTAAACCCATTCTTTGTGTTTTAAAGCTACACTGTGTGACCCCCATCTAGCAGTGAAACGGTATATGACCATCCAGTGAATATTAGTTTCTGTTCCTCTCAATTCTGATTTCGTTTTAACTCCTACGGTGGCCAATGTAGTCCAAGATTAGCATGGCTTCCAGTTCGACCTCGTCCATGAGTGTTAACTCAAACATAAACGCGAAAGGTGAAGCTTGAATTAATGGGTGTCCCTCTTTGGCTAATGTATTTTCAAGATGGAGGGGCATTAGAACCCCGACATTAGAACCCCTTAACCGTATGTATTTTCAATGGCATATTATACACTCACGAGAATACTTTATTACTTGAACGAAGTAAATATACATTAATGAGCACATATATTTTTGAAAGAACTGTTTTTAGCTAAGAATAAACTAAAAGAGTTACACAGTGTAGCTTTAAGCTTGTCATCAGCATAATTTAAGGCAATTTTAGACTACAGCTTTTACCATAAATGTATGTGGTAGAAAGCATGCCAAGGCTCAAACTGTGATTGTAAATCAGGGTCATTCCACCAAATATTGATCTCTGAACTCTTCCCAAGTTAAAGCATTAGTATTGTGTTGTTTGATAAAGGGAATAATTGACAATGGGCTTTTATTAGAAAATAATGCACACCCAGGGTGGTAATACGGCCATATTTTTCAATAACTCAATGGCCCGGAGTCAATTATTCTGCGTATATACTATGGTTACCACACCTCAAAACATTGTTCCGATTATGTATTTTAAGACATTTGTCAGTTTTTTTCTCCTTAAAACGCTTTTGTGTGTAGGCCTAATTTCTTACACATCTAATCCCATGTAGCTTCTAAATTGATTTGGGTTATGGTTATTTTTCTGTTGTACTCTGTAAGGACATTTGAAAAAACTAAAATCATTTGGCAAAGTGATGTGGAACTATAATGTGAAGATAATGTGTGGAACTTAGAACGTTCGTCAACCAATCAGATTCAAGTATCCGCCCCGTTGTATACAAATTAATATAAATGTGTTTTCTTTGAGGTATTCAATGTATTTTGAGGTTTGTATTTGATGACCAAAGAAGACTGAAAAGTTTATAAGGGTTGATAAAATATAAGCAATATTCCTAATCTTGGATTACGATTAGAGCCAGACCGATATATCGGCCGATATTAGGCATTTTCCAAATTATCGGTATCGGCAGTTATAATGGCCGATAAATGAATATTTTGTATCATATTTTGATAATGAATATTTTAACAAAATTTGTGACTATCATGTACAGTTTTGCTGCTGTTAAATAAGCCGAGAATAAAGCGAAATTAGCTAGTAATAGTTACATAATGTTGTTACAGTGTAGTCATTTTAACTTTTGACAATGTGACTGAAGTATTTCTTTAATAGCGCGTGACAGTTATAGCAATGAGACGCATCATCTCTCCTTGGCCTGTTATATTGAAAATGTATGTTTTACAATTTGTTGCGTGTTTCTGAAATAATAATTAAGAAAAAATATCGGCCGATATATCGGATTTTAAAACCAATAAATATTTGTATCGGTATCGGACTTCAAAATCCTTTATCGGTCGGGCTCTAATTACGATTGTTTTTGTTGTTTTTTTATGAAAAAAAAGGCATTAAATTACTAATCTAAAAGTAACAATCATAAAATTGTTTATTCTAATAAAAGAATGTGTGATATGATATCCTTCTCTACTGGAATCAATTGTGAGTTAATATATTCTCACGAGTAGCGTTATTGGTATGTGGTAGAGATTTGTTGAGTGTATGCAGGGTTTCAAATCAGTCACTTATGAGGAACATAGCTGCCTTAGAGGGAAGATCCCTATGCAGACAGTAGAACACTGTAGATTTTGGAAGAGAACTTGTTGCTAGAACTGCTTCCTGTTAGCTGAAATAACAAGCATGACTGTCATTCCTAAGTCTTAAACTCTACTTTGGATGGACTCATTACTGTCAAATCAAAAAGTGCCCGAGGGCTCCACAGTGGAAGATAAGTTTATGTGGCTGGCATGTAACAGCCTGAGATTTGGAGTTTCATCTGGAATGTGCACAGATATGAGGTTGGCATTACGTCCCTTGTTCTGAGGAAAACCTCATTATAGCTGAATTCAAAATAAGCACACACACACAGGCGCCATCACGCTTCTCTGCTCCGCTGGATCACTGAACTCTGCCTGGAAGAGCATCTTCACCAACGCAAACTGGTGCCATCTGTCTCCACTGCTCTGCTTACCTTCCAATTTCCTTTAAGCAAATTCCTTTTGCTTAAGTAATTTCATCATTTTTTCACCCAAAAAAACTTCAAAAGCCACATCTTTTGACCACAACACAATGTTAAACTTAAAAGGACATTACTGGCCACAAATTAAAAATAATAATAATTCTCTCAAATAAGAATTCAGACAAGTTTAACCGATCATGGTTAACTACCCAATACAAAGGCAAATAAAGCCTGAGGATTAATCTGTTTGCGGAAGAAATTATGATTTTTTTGAATGTGTGACAAGTAAACCCATGAGAAATTAAACCTACCAGCTGTAAAATGTCTTCATCTTTTGGCATTACACAGAGCTCCAGAGATGTGTCACTGCAAAGAAACATTTTGAAAAAATAAACTGAAAATAATATTTCAGACGAATTCATGAACATGACAGTGTTTTTTTATGATATTCAAGAACAAGGAAGAACTGCTGTGTTTTTACCAAATAAAATTACGCAATAAAGAGCATATTCATTAAACTTCCTCAAGGATTAAGAGATTTATTTGGAAGACTTAGCAGGAACAGATAATCAACCCACAAAATGAGCAAAAAGGGAGCATATGGATACAGAGCAGCACGTATTCCTAGATTAAGTAACTTATAAAATTTTATTTACGTTAAAATCAAAACCTACAACTAGCTACTAAGTCAAGATCCTTACCTATGAGGCTAACATAGACTCACTTTATTCCGGACACTTGACCTTTTCTCGCAAATTCTATAAATAAACACTTTCAGGTTATGGTATATATATATATATATATATATATATATGAAGAGTTCAGATGCAAAAGCCTCTAAATGCCATTTGAAATTTTCTTCTTTAATGATGATTTTTATCAAACTTGTATATTTAAGTTCAGTAATTTCACTTAAATTGCAATGATAATTACCTATTAATTGTTATTTAAGTGAAATTACTGAACTTAAATATATAAGTTTGATAAAAATCATCATTAAAGAAGAAAATTTCAAATGGCATTTAGAGGCTTTTGCATCTGAACTCTTCATATATATATATATATATATATATATATATATATATATATATATATATATATATATATGTATGTATATATCATATATATCCATGTAATCTTTGCCTCCTTCTCTTTCGATTCCGACCATATGTTTCAAGAGCCAGTCGTTTCAAAGAAATCAATGCGAGTTTCTAATGTACACCATTGACTATTCAGAAAATGACGAGGGGAAGGTTTTCCGGTACGAGAAAAAAGGATGAGGGAAGGATACCTCCATAGAAAGCGGCTCTTAAAACACGATCACCCACCAGAAAATGACGAAAAAAACATTCTTAAGGTCTTCTAAAATAATTATGAGCTACAATTTGCAAATATTTGTACTTTAAGGGATTAAAAAAAATTAAATAATAAAAATTCTTAAATATAATGTTAGAATTTAATGCTTAAATGAGCAATTGTCAATTAAAAGAGTGTATAGATGCTTTATACAACATAGTTATGAAGATTAATATGATTACTTTACCAACTTATAGTTGTTAAAATGTATGTGTTTTATATTAGAAATGACTCCTCCTTAACTGTCTGAAACACAGCGAGTGGAAATTTTCACCGTGAGTCCTCGTGGTAATCCGGACACTGCGTCTCCAGGCTGTTTTTTCAAGATTTCTCTAAAATGACTAGTCCAAAATGTGTCAATCAAACTTTGAAACGTGTGGAAGGCACGTCCCCAGAGACAGACGAGCCAATCAGGTTTATCTTTCAGCGGGTTGATATCTTACAGGACGTTTTACTGTGCAAAGTGTCCGGAAATACAGTGAGTCTACATTACACCACCCCTCAGGGGCTGAAACAAGCAAAGCAAGTTGCAACATTACCTGTTCTGGATAAGGGCGATTACTTGGGAATACGTCTTCCCAATGATGCTTTCTCCGTTGACTTTTACAATGCGATCCCCTGTGGGAAGGAGAAACAGGAAGAGAACCAGAAGTAATAGTTCAGTTATTTAAAAAAATATGTTTTTTTTTTATTTTTATTTTTTTAAATACGTGTTTTGAAATCATGGCACATGATGCCATAGAAAAAATAAATTACAGATTTGGACAGGAATTCAGAACCCTGGAGTAAGTATGTTTGTTCAGATATGTTGACCGTTGTGTTCTGAAGATGAGATTCACAGGAAACCAACCAGAGTGAGCCAGCAGCGAGATATTGTGGATAATTGTGGGAACATGTGTTCTGGACCCTCCCAAAAGTCTGTCCACTGAGACCAACATAGTAATAACTTCTCAATGTTTATTTGGGTCCAGACTGATCACACTTACATAACACTTCAGCTGCTTATGAATAAGTCCTGCCAATGCATTTTGGATGCTGGCTGATAGGTATGACCTCTTGCCTGGTTGACCTCCAACTGTTTAGTAGTGATGCCTTCATGCATCAGTTAACCACAGATTTGTGTCTAAAGGGGGCTGACAAGCAGAATGTGTGGTCTATCTGTGCTATTTTTATATTTGCTGGTATATACAGTATGTGTCAGATGGATGTATTTCGTGAGCTTAGAATTATAAGGTTCTATCTCCGTTTAGGGTAGTCCTGAGATATTGAGCATCAAAGTTTTTACATCCCAGCTGGTAATACTGTTATGTATAGGGTTGGGTATCGTTTGAATTTGAACGATTCTGATTCCGATTCCGATTCCTTGTTTCGATTCCGGTTCCTAACGATTCTCGATTCCGATTCTTTTAAGAGGCAGGGTCAAAAAAGTTTAGCTAACCTTGCTAACCAATTCTGAAGGAAATACTCCTTCTGTAAAAATACTCCTTTTGTCACAAATTTTGCATTTTGCCGAGATTTAGTTATTTTTAGAAAAGCGAAGCCACACTTTGGATCGCCGACGTAAGGTACTCATGTTCGACTCGCGTGGTTATGCCAACACTTCCGGTAGACGCTTCTTCGTTGGTGTTGTTCAGCGGTTTCTTTTTCCGCTCGGCGGACTGTGAATATCGAAACTAGGAATCGAAATTTTAACTTTTGAACGATTCCGGGAAAAACGAAAAGCTAGTCTCGGTTCCAATCGATACTCGATTCTCGATACCCAACCCTAATTATGTAGTGTATATTTTTTTTTTACAAAAATAACACCACACAGGCATTAATAAACACCTAATGGATCAGATTATGTCAAAAACTCAATTTCGACCAAAAGTGGAGATAGAACCTTATAATTCTAAGCTCACGATTTGGATTTTAGAAACGTGCCCTATTATGCTATTTTAAAGGTTCCTAATTTTGTTTTCGAGGTCTCCTACAACAGTTTTACATGCATCTAAGGTAAAAAAAAAAAAAAAAAAAAGTAATACATAATATAAATTGCAGAATCGACTCTTTTCTCATAGTGTCTGAAACGGTTTGATAAAGGATGCCGTCTCTCTAAACCCCTCCTTTCTGAGAGCCTACTCTGCTCTGATTGGTCAGATGACCTAGTCTGTTGTAAATGATCGGAAACGAAAAGCCCACTACCATATCTGTATTTCAGCTCCAGAGGCTTCCTCAGCACTGGATACACAGTGATAGTAACAACGTCCGTTTTACCGAATCAATTCAAGCTTGAGTCCTCATTCTTTGGAAGTGAATGCAAAGCAGATTTGTTTTCGTAGTGAAGAAAACAGTATCTTCTCCACATGTCAACAACAAAAAACAAACTCAGACCTCAGCTAAAACTACAGTGTTTGAGGCCGGGTCAAAGTAGACATTGTTCGTAAGAAGCTAATGAAGAACATAGGCTGGCATTATGCATATTTGTTACAAACCTTTGCAGGTTCAAGCAGGATATAAGCTGGAATGACTCGTTTCAGCGGGTTCAGAATTGGTACTTTCTTTTGGGAGACATTTATCTCTAAAAACCTTTTACATTTACACACAGCTATATTATAAACTACATGAAAGGTAATATCAGAAAAAGCATAATAGGGGGACTTTAAGACGGTAAGACTAGGGGTGTCAAAATACACCAGTATTGATTATAACTGTGATATTTAAAACAAATAAATATTGATAGCCCCTTCAGACTGGAATAACCTGCCCGGGTCTTTAAAGGGTTAGTTCACCCAAAAATGAAAATTCTGTCAGTATTTACCATAGTATGTATTTTTTCCTACTATGGTAGTCAATGGGGATTGAGATCTGTTTGATTACAACATTCTTCCAAATATCTTCCTTTGTGTTCAGCAGAACAAATAAACTCATAGAGGTTTGGAACAACTTAAGGGCGAGTAAATACTGACAGAATTTTCATTTTTGGGTGAACTAACCCTTTAAGATCTGTCACATCATTGCGTTCTTTCAAAATATCTCTTTTTACTTACTTGCAAGCAAATGATTGCTGTAAATGTTTTCCTCATGTGTGACTGGATATTGTTTCATATACCCTTTATATCTGTGACATTATTATTATTATTATTATTATTATTATTATATCTTATTTTATTATTTATTTATTTATTATTATTATTATTATTATTATTTTATGTTTTTTTATTCAATTATTTATTTATTTATTTATTTATTTTACTCTTTATTATGTATAGAATATGGATTTAGGTGTACGTATATATTATGTATGTATTGCTTGCATGTATATATAGACGTGTATGTAAGGGCTAAATGTTGTCATGCATTGTAATACTGCAATATGTTTTATATATGGATTTGTTCCTAATAAGGAGTTGATGGGCCTGGAGGGCTGGGTGGGGCGACGTGGGATGAGGTAGAGCTTTGGTGTGAGTGAATGTACATGTGTTGTATTATTTTTGTTTTGTCTCGAGGACCCCCTTGAAAACGAGATGTTTCATCTCAAGGGGTTATCCTCAACAACAATAAATTCAAATTCAATAAATTCAATATCAGCTTAATACTACACATACATTCATATCACAAATAATCCAGACACTATCTGGTTGACACAATATAGTTAGTGGCAGCTGTGCACATTAACGCTGGTTGGTCACAATATTTAGCTCGGCTTCTGTAACCGAGCTTCGGCTCCTCCCTATAGTTGTATTTTGAGAATGTGATTCATTGGCCAAAAAAAAAAAAAATCTGACTGATATCATCATTTAGATTTTTTCCCCAGAATTTCTATAGATATTGTGATAAAAAACTTTATTGTGAATTCTTTTGGCCAAGATAATCATCTAGTGAAAATCTGATGTTACGCTAGGCCTACAACAATCAAATGCGAGCATTAAAACATGTCTCGAGACTTGTGCAAGAACCAGTACCTGTGCAGAGTCCAGCTCCATGTGCGGGGCCGTCCTCTTTCACCTGCTTGACAAAGATGGTGTCCATTGGCTCCAGTCTGTTCCGCTGTCTCCCTGATGGCACGAGACAAAAAGCAACAGTCACTTCAGAATCATCAAAACAAAAAGTAAGTAGGGAAGGTTCAAAAAAAGTTGGAATATCTAATAAAACCTTGTCAAGCCTTGGTCATGTCCTCTCTTTTTCTCGTGCATTTTCCAAATGAAATCGGTAATATCGCACAGATTTATATTGCACAACGAGACAGCATGTTAATCTACTGTGCTCTAGTCATGCTCACTGAATCCTCTGTGGCAATCTCTCATAATCTGATCTGAGTAAAGCATAAGATAATATAAGATATGCGCATGCCTACGTGTGAGAGTGTGTGTATGCACATATTTGACGGGGCTAGATCATGCTGAGAGCCGCATGCCTGTAGGGATATGTGTGCTGTCTGAAGCACTAAATGATGACTGAACGCCTACATTATGACACACTGCACTGATTAGTATGCAATATCTAATATAGACGCTGTACACCATATTGTGAGTCGTAAACATTTACCAGCTAACTCGTCTGTTACTTTTGGACATTTTGGCCAAAAAAAAAAAATCTTACTCCATTCTACATAGAAACGGCATAACAAAGCCATAACAAAAAATAAAAAGTGCATCTTCTCTGGGACAAGTGCGACAAACTAACATATTGAATTATTAGCTTGCTTAGACCAACAAGGAATCTGAACGTTTTCATCATTTTCTATGATGGGGGAAAATCTGTATAATTCTGTGGAATGTATTTTTTTAAATAAATTTACAGTGTAAAATAATCAACGCATTCTCATCATTTAGCGTCATATAGATGGCGCTATATGACAAAATGGTACTATACTACGCATATGGCACCCGTTATCGTTAATATAACACGCGGTGTGATGAGTAAGTTTAGGTGTGGGGTAGGGTAGGGTAGTCTAATATTACGCTAAAGGATTTATGATGCCTTGGGTTCGCGTGTTATATTAACAATAAAGGGTGCCATGTGTGTAGTATAGCGCCGTTTTGTCACATAAGGCGCTTTTCCACTGCATAGTACGGTACGGTTCGGCCCAGTACACTTCGAATCGGCGCGGAACAGTTCGGCTCGCTTTGCGTTTCCACTGCAGTAGTACCCCTTCAAAGTGTGTGGGACTGATCGTTATTTGCGCGCGCCTCTACTGCCATGACATCATCTTAAAAGTGCCACATTTTCAAACCCACAACACAGGAATAATGGAGACTATCGAGGGGATGGTGTTCCTGATTCTCGGTATGTGGGTTTTTTTAACTGCTAGATGGAAAAATGTGTTTAAAATGAGGCTGATGGCAGCAAAACAAAAATACTGCTAAAAAAGTGTCTCGTGTCTCGTGTCGCAAATCCAATGACGCTAGTAGTGACGCTGGTAGTGACGATTCTGTCTCACCAATCAGTGATCTGCAGTGTTTCACGTCACATTTTAGTACTGGTACGGTACGCTTGGAACCTCAACAGACCAGGTACCACTTAAAGCGACCTGAAGCGAACCGTACTGTACCGTACCATGCAGTGGAAAAGCACCACAAGTGAGCCGTACCGAACCGAACCGTACCGTACTATGCAGTGGAAAAGCACCAATAGCGTTCTATGTGACGCTAGAAGGATCAGAACGGGCTGAAAATAAAACACTTCTATAAAAAAATATTAATTTATTTTACGTCTGCAAAATTACAATACTAAGATTTAAGGCTGTCTTCATTTATTTTGACAGAACTCATTCTTTTAAATTGATGGAAAAACACAGGAAGCCCTTAAAGTCACTATGAAATCGAAATGGACAGTGTAATACTAAGGTATTTATTATTAAATTATTTATCTATTCACATCATTGTTTTAAAACAAATGTTTTTTATTTAATTCATGTGTCCACATAAACTTTAATCAAAACAACTTGCAATGACATCGCTTCTCTTTTCCAATGACTTGTTTGCCGGTCCAAGGGCGTGACAGCCCGACGACCAATAGCAAACACTGAGTATTTATTATGTTAAATCGCAGCTTTTAGGCTTTGATACATACACAATATCTGATTTATTTCCATTAATCGTGCAGCCCTAGTGGAATATGTTTACCAGAGCTTACTAACCAAATGAACACCAAACAAACACCCAAGGGGCAAGAGATGTGTAGCTTTGCAAATGTCTGCTGTTCAAACTCTGTAGAGAAGCAGATTATGTGCTGACCTACATGTAGTTTGGGATCAGAAAGATTCAATCCACACCAACATAGTACAAAGTGCACTGCAGAAATGATGAAATGATGTTTGCACTGATGCATCTTACTTGTGCTTGCGCTAACATATAGCCACACGAAAACTCTAAAGTGTTTAATGTTGTTACACTGATGTGTGGTGTCAGGCTCCCTCTACAAGCACATGAGGTATTGCAGAAGATTTTCACCATGTACTGAATTATGTAACACCTTACTGGCCACATATAATACTGAGCATGCTCTGGCTCTGATATACTGAACAGTGAGTGTGTGTGTATGTACATGTATTCGTTTCTGACTATAACTTTTTCTAGTTTTTGAATTCTACAAAATGAATGTTTAAGTGTCAAATCAATTGTATTTATATAGCACTTTATAAAATACAGTCTAATCTAAATGAAATAAATGCTACTGCTTCAATAGTTTCAGTCTCAGCTTCAAATATGTCACTATGCCACTGATGAGAAAGCCAAAACAAACAATGGCAGGAAACCAAAATGAACTTACAGATGATACAACATTAATTAAATGAAAGTCCCCCTAAGTGTACTTCAAGAGTACACTTTTATGACTATAGATATACGTTTAAAAGGTGCAATTTGTAATGTCAAATTAAGTTTTATTTAAAGTAAATTTTAAATCATTATGTTTTAAAGTCCCATTGTCAATAATTGCATCCCATAAAACTCACCTCTGATCACCAATTTTACACATTTAAATGTTTTTTTTTTCCCCATTCATGCTTTAAAATAGGGGGTTTAAGAACTGATTGGGAACGTCCTTGTTAGTCCAATAAAAGCTTTTATTGACACCATTTTTAGCAAACGACTCGTTTTTTCAAAGTGGGGAACTATGACGACAAAGAGGATAAAACACTACCCCCGCAGAAGAAGATCTAACGACCGGTTTAGCCCCGCCCACCAATTCGCACATTACACGCATAGCTAAATAACAAAGATGCCTGGCGAATCATTCCGGTTGCCATTTTACAACATTGGACGTTTTAAAAACAATTTCCCCCACTTACACCGAAGAGGTAAGTTGAAAAACTCATTATAATATGCAAAACTGTTCTCCACTCACAGCATTGGGAGTTTACTTACAAGTCTTCAGTGCGAGACGCACATAAAAAACGAGCGTTTTTCAGCTAGGCTCAAAACTAGCGTACAAAATAGCCTATTACTTATTCATTTTGATGTTTTTGAATGCAAAAACCAACCGAACGTCATAAGTTGACCTCAGGCAACAATATAACAAGATTTAAAAAGCCAGTTCATGACCCCTTTAATTTGGAAAAGCTCAAAGGTCAGAAAGCAGGATTCCCTCAGCCAAAGAGCTTATCTAAGAAGTCAGGTAGAGAACTTGTGGTATGAACAAAATCTTTTCTCAATAAATTGCCACAAGGATGAAAACATCATGTGGGCCAAAAAAAGCCTTTTTAACTGAGTAGCCCTGGATACTGAACATTAATCCATATCCTGTAGAGGGCAGTCATTCATAGAGTATGTGCAATTGAGGGCTCTAGTAATGGGACACCACCAATGGCTCAGTACCAGACCAGGAGGTTAATATTTTATTCCATTACATATGAATTGTGATCCAATCTGATTACTATTGGCATCTCTTGTGAGGCTTTGTTAAATATGATATGGCTCATCCTCATCTATCGAATCAGGCTGCCAAGACTAGACTTTTATTGGCTGTGCTTTACTGAGAGGTGAATGCTCCAAAGGATGTCCCACTGATACAGTTACACTATTACAGCCATCGACTAACGGGCAGTGAACGTTAATCACAATATCTGTGTAATGGTCATTTCAAAGGTACTTAAACCTGCAACGCATTTTTATCTTTCTGGAGCTTGACAACCACTTCCTCATTCACTTTTGTTGCACGGTAAAGTGCAGCATGAACATTCTACTTCGTATTTCATGGTACAGTGAATAAATTATGATTTTCTGAATTAATTTTAAAGTGTCTTTACAGAGTCAAACGGCTGTAACTCCAGTCTGATGCGAATGTGTCCACATGTGCGATGATGTTTCACACTATAGCCTCTGTGCCAAATTCTCTGCCGTCCCTCGGGTGACACATTCAAACATGCTAGAGGGCAGAGGAGGGCATGCTGAAAACCGTCTTTGTGTGGACAGGTTTGTGTTGCCCCCTCAGCGTCTGGAATCTCTTTTGTTAGTCTGTGTGAGTGTGTATGAGCTCAATAAGGAATAAGGAACAATTCTCCCACAACAAACACACTGCTTTTACTGGCCATTTGCTTCTCCCTAGATTATAGTATAAAACTAAAAGCCCCAAAGTGCAGTTCACACCCCAGTGTTCTCGTCTACAGAGCTCTTTCTTCTTTCAGCGTGAGGTGTACAGTAAATGACTGATGTTTTAACTTGAACCACACTCACCCTCAAAACCCAGCCAGTGTCAACACACAATATGACTTATTGTGAGAAATCGAAGTCTGATCTGCTGTAAGCTTTCGGAACTCAAACTGCAACCTGTGTTGAACGAGTGTCAGGGAGTTTTTAGGGTACACGGTGCTCTAGGGTTTGTGTGGAGAAAATGAGTTCAACCCAAAACCAGGCTCTGTGGGAACTGCCGTATACCCAATGTATACCCAACTCTGCTCTACTGTAAATAGACCCCGATATGATCACAGTGAAGTTCTTCATTCTTAGCTCGGGGGTTAAAAAAAATATATAAATCACCAACAGCAACAAAACACCTTTGCTTTAGCCTGAAATAGTTCCACATGACATCACATGCATTCGTTGTTTGGAATAAT